GGCTGAATCTAGACGAGGATTAAGAGTCGAGAAGGAATAACGAATCGTCTCCTTTCTCCAATAATTTAATGAAACGTCAAAGCTTCCGTACTTTGCGCGTGAGAGGGGGGGGGGACTGAATTCAGACAAGAAATTAGATTCGAGAACGGTACAACGAATCGTGTCCTTTCTCTAATAATTTAATGAAGCATCAAAGCTTCCGCACTTCGCAAGAGGGGGGGGAGGCTGAATTTAGACGAGGATTAAGAGTCGAGAAGGAATAACGAATCGTCTCCTTTCTCCAATAATTTAATGAAACGTCAAAGCTTCCTTACCTCACGTGAGAGTGGGGGGGGGGTGTAATTCAGACAAGGATTTAGAGTCGAGAACGGTGGTAGAAGCAGGCTTGTAGCCACGGGGGGGGGGGGGGGGGGGGGGGCACGTGACCCCCCCCCAAACATCAAACTCTGGCTACGGCCCTGGGTAGAAGGGAGAAACACAGGATAGCGCAAGGAAAGAGAGGAAGAGAAAATGATAAAAGATATAGGAGATATGATAGAAAACAAAAATAGACAATTATTTCTTTCTCTAATAATTTAATGAAACGTCAAAGCTTCTGTACTTCGCGCGAAAGTGGGGGGGGGGGGTGAAGCTCAGACAAGAATTTAGAGTAGAGAACGGTACAACGGATCGTCTTCTTTCTCTAATAATTTGATGAAGCGTCAAAGCTTCCACGCCTAGCGAGAGAGAGAGGGGGACCTAATTTACACGAGGATTAAGAGTCGAGAACGGAACAACGAATCGTCTCCTTTTTCTAATAAGTTAATGAAACATCAAAGCTACCGTACTTCGCGCGAGAGTGGGGGGATGTCATTCAGACAAGAATTAAGAGTCGAGAATGGTACAACGAATCGTGTCCTTAATTTCTCTAATAATTTAATGAAGGATCAAAGCTTCCGCACTTCGCAAGAGAGGGGGGGGGGAGGCTGAATTTAGACGAGGATTAAGAGTCGAGAAGGAATAACGAATCGTCTCCTTTCTCCAATAATTTAATGAAACGTCAAAGCTTCCGTACTTTGCGCGTGAGAGGGGGGGGGGGACTAAATTCAGACAAGAAATTAGATTCGAGAACGGTACAACGAATCGTGTCCTTTCTCTAATAATTTAATGAAGCATCAAAGCTTCCGCACTTCGCAAGAGAGGGGGGGGAGGCTGAATTAGACGAGGATTAAGAGTCGAGAAGGAATAAAGAATCGTCTCCTTTCTCCAATAATTTAATGAAACGTCAAAGCTTCCTTACCTCACGTGAGAGTGGGGGGGGGGGTGTAATTCAGACAAGGATTTAGAGTCGAGAACGGTGGTAGAAGCAGGCTTGTAGCCACGGGGGGGGGGGGGGGGGGGGGGGCACGGGTGACCCCCCCCCCCCCCCCCCCCAAACATCAAACTCTGGCTACGGCCCTGGGTAGAAGGGAGAAACACAGGATAGCGCAAGGAAAGAGAGGAAGAGAAAATGATAAAAGATATAGGAGATATGATAGAAAACAAAAATAGACAATTATTAAGAATAGATAATGGAAAGATGGACAAAACATGAAAGATAGAAAAACAAAGAATAACATAAGGAAAGACAGAAAGAGAAGGGAGAAGGTAGAAGGAGGAAGCAAAGGATAGTGCAGGGAAAGATAGGAAGAGGAAATAATGGAATAATAACAACAAGCAGTAACATATGAGAAGGTGATTGAAGGTAGAAACAACATAACATTGAGACAGAAAGAGAAAACTCTACGCCTATATTCTGCTTAGGTTGGTTTATTAAACAAAAATGAGAAGAACGCAGCGAAGGTCTAGGAACTAGACTACTCCGATTCAACAACATAAACATCGCTCAGACACGCAGCTCAGAAATTGTCACACAACCTTTGCCGAGTAGTTTGATTCTGATGCCAGCCTGAGCGCACGTAGTGCTCTTACGCATACAGTTTTCTAATGAGACCGTGCGTGCTACAACGAGGGATTTACGTACACGTAATGCCTCGTTGTAGCAAGGAACGATTTGCTCGGGTCCTCGACCGGATCTCTATGCGACAATCTGCGCTCGAGCGGAGCGGCTTAGCGTACGATGTAACGATCTCATATTTATCAACGCTTTTGCTGGTTCATTTTTTCCCGTTCAAAATTGCATGTGAGGTGGCAATTCATTTTTGAATTTCTGGTAATAAAATCGAATTCTAAATAAAACATTAAATCAAAAGGACAATTGCACTAATATGCGCAGTCATACAAGCTGGTCAGTCGCGCTAAGAGGGCTTAATCCGAGGCAGCTGCTAAACAGCCGGTCGAAACATGATTGACAGCTCTCTCTGCGAGAAGAAGAGGGGAAAAGTTTCCTGATGCGAGTCAAATCTGAAATCTTTTAGTGAGTTTTAAAATCATATCTCTTGCATTACTTGCCCGATTTTTGTGCTTTGAAGTTTTTTGGGGTATAATTATCCATAAGAACAAATTTCGGGGGAAAAAAACTCAGGTTTTTGTAACCTTGGGATTTTTTTTTCTACACATTTTCTCTTCAACCAAACTCTGTTGACGGGTCTTATTAGCGTGTCATGGGCAATGGATTAGGAAAGTGATAAGAATGGGAGGTCCTTCTCCAGGCTCGTTTGCAAACTCTATCTCATCATCTCGTGATTGCCAAATAGCCCGCTATTTGGGAAATAATCCCGAAGTAACAAATCGCGTCTTCACTATCTCGAGATTCGACCTCGAAACTCGAAACTCGACCTTGAGAAATTAGCTCGAGATATTTTGCTCAGCGTTAGCGTGTATTGCGAATCTTCAGTCTAGTGAAGACGCACGAGACAAATAGCTGGATATTTTGCCAATAAAAAGGATATTTTGCAATCTTTCCCAGGATATCTTGGGATATTATCCCGACCAACTATCCAGCTTATTTGCTCCTTCGGTCTAATGAAGACACAAATTAGCTGGATAGTTTGCGATTGGGATAGTTCAAATAGCTGGATATTTGGCAATCTCGAGATAGTGAAGACGGGCCTTATGAGACAATACCCGAGTAAAGGGCCCTCAAGTAGGAATCGCTACAACAAGGAATTTTCGTAATGATATTTGGTCCTTAAAAAAGTTAAAATATATATACCGATCTGAATTTATACTACCTACATGTACATGAACATGAACATGTATATGATGTATGAGAACTTACATCTGGCTGTAGGCCTATAGGAGGCAAAGTACACTGCAGTAATTATGCATGGATACTAAACAAACATGAACATGATATCACATCCAAATAGCATTGCATTGAAGTTTGAACTGTTTAGATATGATGGTCTGTGTATTGATGATTGAAGAATGATCTTTGGTTTATGTATGTCAATACAGATAACAATTTAATCTACAGCCTATGCAAATGGATGTTATTGGTGCCTTTCAATGCACATATGTCTTTCTTTTTCTCTTCTTTTTCAGGAGTGATATCTGCTACTTATGATATATGCCATCTATATAAGAGCAGTTTAAGAGCAACTCTTTTCATACATTTAGGACAGTGTTTTCCACATGGGAATCAGAATTATGAGAAAGCTCACATTTGTATCATCATTGTAGATAGAAGTCATCCTTTTCACTTGTCACTTTTTTCTTTAGCTTAATAAAATTAATGTATTGTGATAGATTGTCAGATTTGGTGATCATTTTCAGACAATTATAGAGCATTTCCTTCTTTTTGTGACCAAAACTCTTTACAATATTTAGTGATATCCTCTCTAGTAAGTAGTAGTGGTAGAGTAGTGGTCTCATAACTGGAAGGTCCTTGGTTCAAAACCAAGATAATGTACCAGTCGCCTTATTATTATTTACCAACATTATTGTATTCAAGTCCTGCCTCAAGACGGTGGCCTTGGCCTCAGACAGAGTCATGTGTATTAAACCTATATAGAAGATGATATCTATTGGTGGGCCTTTGACTGAGAATCACTAGCCTTGACCACATTCGTCCTTACTAAAGCCCTTTTACATTCAATCTCTCCCTTCTCTTCATCCATATTTCCTGTTCTCTTCTTTAAAAAGCCCCACTGCACTACTTATAGCTACTTGCGCCCTCTATATAGCAAACAATGCCTAATCAGTGACCATTGGTCCTCATGGTTTCCTTTTTCTTATGTTAATTGAGAGCTGATTTGATGAGATAACCACCTGTCAGTGACCATGCAGGGAGGTCTAATCCCTCCTGGCCAAACTAGTGCAGATAGGCTTTAATTTTTATACTTCTGTTTTGACTCGTATACATTTTCCCTTCTCAATGACTTCTACCTTTGCTTTTTCTTTTTTTTTTGCCTTCGATGGGAAATTAGTCAATTGGATGATATTCTACTCATGTCAATTATTATTCTCATTTACCATGTCAAATCATGTGTCATTAAAAATTCTTTGTAATATGTTGGTATAGTATTGTGATGTATTGTTATATATATATATATATATATGCATTTTTCTTTTATTTATACAAAAATTATACAATACAGCCTATAGTCTGTGAGACAGGTTTTGAAAAAAATATATACCTTTGAATAACACCCCTGGTTACCAAGTCCCTTGGATAGGGCTTATAGCTACATGTCCTCTGGTTTTGTATGTGGAGTCACATACTTGCCTTCTCAGGTGACAAGTAAAATTAATCTCAACACTACACAAGTTATCTGACACAGATTATCTTCTTTAGCATAATTCCAATAAGACCCATGGAAAGTTTTGACATCTAGGTTTCGAGTATGTGTTCTTGCTTGTAAAATAGAGTTACTCTGAAGGCATATACCGGTAAGCATAAATAGGTTTAAGCTTGGTCTGAAATAACAAGAAAGTTAGAACAAGATCTAAAATTTCCTTTATTTAAAGACATAACTTTGATTATCCTTGCGTTGGGTTCAACTGAATTAGTAGTGAGTTTAGGGCAGAAGAAGTATTTAACTTACATCTTTTCTCCCCCTCTCATCTTTTTCCTTTAGAAACCAGTAGTGATCACAGGAACCAATCTGGTCGAGACTGCTCTGAAATGGGACCTGGACTACTTGGAGAAAAAACCTTGGCAGCGGTAAATTCAACGTGTACGTCTCCAAGAACCATCACTTCATGTACTTTGACGACAAGAAGGCGAGTAATCAGAAAGAATTCTCTCCCAAAACCAGGCTCATGGAGATGACCATTCCAGAATTTGTCCAACTTATGGAAGAAAAAAAAGGCGGCACTGACAAGTGAGTATAATGTATATATATAAGCATTTCTATTTTCCACTTATGTTCAGTGTTTTGTTGTGTTATGTTTGTTGTTGGCCTTTTTAATAATTTGGGAAAATAAGTTGAAAATAAGTTCATAAATACTCAAGTTTAACACCATTGCCTCAGGTATATAGGTGAGGTGATCAGGTCCACTTCTTCTAGTTGTCAGAGTACCTAGGGCAAATTTGAGCCCTGTTGACCCATAATTTAGAGGGGTGCGGAAAATGAAATTTTAATGTACATTAGTGCAATACTGTTGGGAAAACATTTTCCTTTATATTTGTATTATGCATGTACGTTCATTCAGCTTTCCATTGATATAAGTTATACATGTTCCTCAGATAGGGTCTTTAACTTCAATGTATTCATGTTTAAAATCAGTATATGGTCCCCCTATTAAAGATAAAGTTGAGTTCTGGTCATGCGATGCCTTGTGAAAGAAAAGGTGTGGAATGGATCAGAAACAGTTGATTAATGTAGCATGTAAGTATTGGTGTGTACTGCAAGGTTCTAGAGTCGTCAAAATCATAATAAATTTGGCCCATGCAGTCTTGGTAAAGTAATAGCACTGTACACAGAAAGATGTATATGGGACTACACAAATAATGTCGGGCCTACTTACCTTGATTTCCTTATCTTTCTATGCTCATTACTCGTCCAGTATACATTTTCTACCAAAATTGTTTGGCAAATGACATTTATTTGTAATCTTGAACATTCAGTGGAAGTTTTGTTTGATTCTGTGAGAATTCGTTTTCTTTTTTTACAAGAACTCAAGTTTATCTTTAATACAAATTTGTGCTTTTAAACTGCATTTATTATGTTGTTGATAGGGTATACCTTCAGCAGGCTCTGAATGATTCAGTAGGTCCCAGCATTGTGGAAGACTTTGTGAGGTTCAACTGGAACTGGGTAACAGACTACCAGAAGAAGAACAGCTGGGGACCGCTCACCTCCAATCTCCTCCTCGTATCCATGGAAGGTAGTGATATGAGGTTTCTAGTACTGGAGCTCAAAACCATGCAGAACCAGTTTCAAACTTTTCAGACTCATAGTTTGAGCTACATAGCCACACACAAACCAGATTAAAACACAAATCAGGTCTACTTGATAACAGAGGTCTGGAAGAAGAGAGCTGTGAAAAGCTCTTTAGTTTTTCATCTTTTATCACAGAGAATTTCAATGCTTTAATCTACTTTTTTGTGTTTGTTTACATTTATGCCTAGAGTATTGTAATATGTGTTAACATTATCTTTAAGGAAAAGACTGGGCATTTATTGGTGTAAAAGTTTAATGATAAATTCAACTCATATTTTTTAAATCTTCTTTTTCTTACCACTTGAAGTAATTATGCTCATTAATCATGTATTTCTTGTTTGGCAGGAAATGTTACTCCAGCACACTATGATGAGCAGGAGAACTTCTTTGCTCAGGTCAAAGGTTACAAGAGATTCATCATGTTCCCTCCAAGTCAGTTTGATCGTCTCTACCCCTTTCCAGTCCATCATCCCAACGACAGACAGAGTCAGGTAGTGTACTTTTTAGAGTGGTGGTGGTGGTGTTGATGAAGATGATGGTGGTGGTGGTGATGAAGATGATGGTGGTGGTGGTGATGATGATGATGATGATTGTGATTGTGATGGAGACGATGATGATGGTGATGATGATGATGGTGGTGGTGATGGAGATGGTGGTGGTGAAGGTGATGGTGATGATGATGGTGATTGTGATTGTGATGGAGACGATGATGATGGTGATGATGATGATGGTGGTGGTGATGAAGATGGTGGTGGTGAAGGTGATGGTGATGATGATGGTGATTGTGATTGTGATGGTGATGATGATGACGGTGGTGATGATGGTGGAGATGACGAAGATGGTGATGATGATGGTGAAGGTGATGGTGATGCAGATGATGATGGTGATGGTGATGATGATGATGGTGATGATGATGATGGAGATGATGATTGTGATGGTGATGGTGATGGTGATGATGATGATGATGATGATGATGATGGAGATGATGATGTTGATGATAATGATAGTAATTATAAGGATAATGGTTGTGCTGGAGATGAAACTGGGCTAACTAGGGATGATGATATTGGCAGCATTAGTGATGGTGTAATTGATGATTAGTATGATGATGCTGATGATTATGGTGATGATGATGTTGGTGACGATGATGGTGATTATAAGGATGGCGGTGGTGATGAATGTGATTTTCATACTAATGGTGATCACCCTCGTGATTTGACAAGGATCATGATCTTATTAATGATGGTGATTACGATTTTATCTGTAAAGCGCTTAGGTACATCGTCGGATCGGTGTATTGAGCACTATATAAAAAACCGGATTATTATTATTATTATTAACATACATTTTGATGAAAATGCTAATAATTGCAATTTCTCTTTGCTTTCTATTTAAACCATCATGGGTCCAAACAAAATTCTTTGTAGATTGTTTTTACAAACTGTTAAATGCTAATCATTTTTCTATCAATCATATTTCTTTCAGGTGAACTTTGACGATCCTGATTTTGAGAGGTTTCCAAAGTTCCGAAATGCCAAAGCAGTAGAAGCAGTAGTAGGTCCTGGTGATGTTATTTACATTCCAATGTACTGGTGAGTAGACATGTTTTACCGTATGGCCATTCACACAACTTATTTCTCTTTCTTATTGTTTAGTCATTGTGATGTCATCAATAATCCAGTGTACTACTGAGTAGACATATTGTACAGTATGGACACCCATGTGACCAATGTCTCTTTCTCATTGGTCAATCATTGTGATGTCATCTTAACTGGGCCTAGTACTCATTAAATAGTATACAAATAGTGAATGGTCATGAGTGCAATGGTACGAGATTTTGCACGAGGTGAAAGATAAGAGACGCTATATTCAACGAATGGAGCGTCTCATCTTTCACCGAATGCAAAATATTTTTCCATTGCACGAATAAAGACCATTCACTATTTGTTTTATGCAACACCTCGGACGTTAACGGGCTTAAAACAGTTTTCCTAGGCCTAAATCTCAGAGATTTTTGTTTGTTTTCAATTGATGAAATTGCTGATAGTGAGCGCGCACTATTAACCAGGCAGCAAACCAACCTTTATGTTTATTGTTACGCGGAGTGCAATTTCGTTTGATCCTTTCGTACCATTGCACTCTGACGTCACTTAGCTCACCATATACTTTGTACATCGTTAGTGACGTCAGAGTGCAATGGTGCGAAAGGATCAAACGAAATTGCACTCCGCATCAATGATGCCGTCCAATGGTACTGTTAGCGCATGCCATGTGATCAAGAATTGACCCATGAGGTCGCAAGAATCTTAGTAGGCGTTGTATAATAAACATTTGTAAATAGTTGAGAACTAGAAATTTGATATATGGGCTAGGCTGGTCAACTTGAAAGAATTAATTCTGAGACTGTTTTGTATCATCTTGGCGTCGAATAACAAAATTCCATTTGTTGACTTGATTACAGGTGGCATCATGTGGAGTCTCTCTTACATGGAGGAGTGACAGTATCGGTAACATTCTGGTTCAAGGTAAGGTCAAAGGTCATAGTTCAAAGTTCATAGTCATGTGAAGCATGTAACACTCCATCCCTCAGATAGGAATTAAGTTAAATAGAGGCCCCATGTAGGAAAGAGTCTGCACCTTTGCACATTATAAACCAACTGCACTATTCGAAATAGAGTATAGGGGTGGGGGGAACCTTGGTGTAGTGGTACACCTGCACACCCTTGGTACTTGGTACTTGGTTGGGTAATCCCTTTGGCAGCTCACTCAGGAAGCTATACTGGGATGGTAGGTGAGGCGAGTAACTACAAGGAGTGTCATGAATTGCAGGAATGGTGTGTGGACAAAGCACTTGTTAATTTACAGTAAAATATGCTAAGTCCAGTGCAAGTAAAAACCAAGCTAATAAGCTTAAATGATGTGGGAACCAACAGGGGGCTGCATCATTCTAATGGAGGGTAGAGCAGCCTCCTTGAATTTGGTTATTCCTGTTGCATTAACTGCTGAGCCTGGCAGATGATTCCAGATCCTTATTGCTCTTGGGTAGTATGAGAACTTGAAGGAGTCAATAGTTGCAATAGGAAATACATACTTCAGGTTGTGGTCGTGTCTTCCGAGGTATGTAGCAGGGATGACAATAGTTGGTGCAGGTATGGAGACAAGACGGTGATGGATCTTGTAGAGAAGGGTGCATTGGTCGAGGATTCGTCGTGTATGAAGCGTGTCCCACCCTAGAGCTGCCACAATAGCCGATGGTGATGTGGTGTATCTGTAGTCACGGTACACAAAGCAAGCCGCTGTTCTTTGTACTTGCTCTAGCATTTTTGTGACCGTGATGCTGTGTGGGTTCCAAGCCTCAGAGACATACTCCAATTGGGGGCGTTCTAAGGCTGTGTAGGCCCTGGACTTTACATCCCTGGTACAGGGTGAGAGGGTCCTGCGAAGAAGACCTAGAGTATGGCTTGCTTTATGCCGGATAGTTTGGCAGTGCTTGTTCCAACGAAGATCAGCAGAAACTGTAACTCCAAGGTACTTGTACTCTTTGGCTCTCGGGATCAGTCCATTTGACAGGTGGTATTCTTGGATGCTGGGAGTACGCTTCCGTGTGATGGTGAGGATGGCGCACTTTTTCACGTTGAAGTCCATCATCCAGTTTGAAGACCACCTGGACAGCTGTTGGAGATCGTCCTTTAGGATTTGATGGTCCTCAGGGCATCGAATCTCACGATAGAGGGTGCTGTCATCTGCAAAGAGACGCATTGTGGACTGGATGTGTCTTGGATATCGTTGATATACAACAGGAACAGGGTGGGGCCGATGACGGATCCCTGGGGGACTCCAGATGTTACATCCCGCCATGTTGATTTAGATCCATCAACTACAACTGCCTGTTGTCAGTGAGGAGAGACATTATCCACTGGAGTGAGTCACCACTTATTCCGTAGTACTGAAGTTTGGTTGACAGGAGAAGGTGTGGTACTCGATCGAATGCCTTCTTGAAGTCCAAGAAGATTATATCAGCTTGGCTGCGCTGCTGAAGGATGGAGGACCAGTCGTGGACGGCTGTTGTCAATTGAGTGGTGGTTGACAAATCCCGTCGGAAGCCATGCTGTGCATCGGTGAGGATATTATTCACCGCAACATGCTTCGACACATGGCTCAGGATGATGTGTTCCATTACTTTGCAGCAGACGCAGGTGAGCGAGATCGGTCTGTAGTTGGAGGGGTCACACGTTTCTCCTGACTTGTGTATAGGGGTAACTAGTGCTTGCTTCCATTGGGCTGGGACGATGCCACTGTTGTAGCTTTGTTGGAACAGGAAAGACAGTCGAGAAGCAATCTCATGAGCAATCAGCTTTAGGAGCTTGGGTGGAAGTTCATCAGGGCCGCTGGCCTTTGAAGGGTCCAGTTGTTGGAGGCGTTTCTCGACACCGGTCCTGTGAACGTGCAGGTGACCAATAGTTGGAAAAGGAGAAGGTCCTTTCTGTACAAGAGGGTGGGGCTGGTGAGGAGTAAAGACAGACTGGAAGTAGTCGTTCAGTGTCTCTGCCTTGTCTAATGCTGAGGCGCATAGTTTAGATGGCGTACGCAAGGTAGGAATACCAATGTTTTCAGATCGACATGTCTTGATGTAGGACCAGAAAGACTTTGGGTTGTCCTTAAGGCTTGCCCCGATAATGTTGTTGATGTATTCACAACGGGCTCTGTGCACATTCTTGGCAACTTGGTTCCTGTATTGTCGGTAGGCTTTCCACGCTGTGGAGCAAGACTGGTTGTGTGCCTTTTTTAATAGGCCATCTCTCTTCCTCATCTGGCGTTTCAAAGGAGGAGTAATCCAAGGAAGATGTCTCCTGCCTTTGCTCATTTTGGAAGGAATAAGCTCAGACAAACACCTGTTCAAGAAGTTGGCAATGATGGACTAGTTTGTCTCCACTGATCCTGTTTCTGGATCTGATTGGAGAAATTCTGTCGCAAATTCAGCTGCTGCATCTCTCAGTTGCTGTTCGTCAGCTTTGTGAAACTGGTAGATCTTCCTCAGGGGCTTGACAGAGATCTTTGGATTTGCAGCAAGAGTAAAAGTGAGGATGTTGTGGTCGGATATCCCAGACTGAACGCACACATTCTCAACCAGGGCGGGATTTGACGTCACAACTAGGTCAAGGATGTTGTTAGATGAAGGTCGGGTGACTTCCCTGACTGTTTGGGACAAGGAATTGTGTAGAAGGATATCCAACAGCTTCTGGTGACAAGTAGAAGTGGCTGGATTTGTAGTTGACTGGTCATCCCAGTTGATGTCAGGATGATTGAAGTCGCCGGCTATCAAGATGTTAGGGTGGCTGATGCAAGCCTTCGAGACCTTGTTGTCTGTTGTTGGGGGGGGGGCAGTAGTAGCTACCAATATACATTGGCTTGGCATTGGCAAGTTGTACGTTGCACCACTGTATCTCACAGTCTGAGTCAAACTCTGGACATTCAGTGACAATTAGCGTGTCGATGATTGCTATGAAAACACCACCTCCATGGATGTTTCTGTCCTTACGGTAGATGGAGTAATTGCTTGGGAAGATTGAGTATGAAGATAAGCTATCATCCAGTTTTGATTCACAACCAAAAACAAAATCAGGAGTGTGGTGAGCAATAGCTGCATGAAAGCTTGATTTCTTAGCATTCCCCTTCAGACCATTGCAGTTTACAACCATCACTTTAAATGCCTTTTTGCGATTTCTTGATGGAGGGTGAAATCGTGGTTGATGACATCCCCCAGGGCTCGATGTAGGCATAGAGGTTAGAGGGTTGATGGAGGGAAGGATTTCTTCATCACTGGAGTCATGGTGAAGGGGTGAGAAATGATTGGACTGTGAGAGGTTAAGTCCTTGCAGTGAGCTGCTTGATCCTATGTTGGTAGAGGAACACTGGCAGCACACCCAAGCGAAGCTCCTGGACTTTTTCATCAAGTCAGTCAGTAATACCGGGAGGAGAGGCCTGAGGGTCACAGTGATGCAGTTTGCTTTGCACCTTTGCACAGGTGACCCCAAATATTTAACGATAATGATAATAGTATAACCAGAAACCAACTTCATCTCTAAAAGGAGATCTTCAATAAACCTAAAATTATTTTGTCATACATGTACCGTTAAAGACTACAAGGTGGAGCAGACCCTAAAAATGAGGAGTATTACCTGACATCTCATATAGACTTTAAGGCCCCACTGCACTACTTATAGCTACTTGTGTCCTCTATATAGCAAACAATGCCTAATCGTATGTTCATTGAGAGCTGATTTGATGAGATAACCAATTGTCAGTGACTATGCAGGGAGGTCTAATCCCTCCTGTCCAAACTAGTGCAGACAGGTTTTAAGACTAATGAGAATGATTCCATTCACAATTATTCATCCCCAGGGATGTTCAAGGCACTGACAAAGTACTGTTATAATATTACCCTGGCTTTAGTCCAGCTGCTTAAAGGCACTGAAGTGTTCAAGGAATAACTTCTTATAAAAAGGAACCCAGTGACTACACCCTGATAAAATGTTTTGGTTTTAAAGTGTACCACTCACCAAAAAATGTTTGATGTAAGGGTTCCGTGCTGCTATACTGTAGTCAAAATTTGGGCTTCAAATATAACTTCTACAAAGAGATATCACAGTTTCAATACACTCCCAGTGAACTGTACAGTGCCTTTTTCGGGTAGACTACTTAAACCACTTGCATATGATGGGGGGCACAAGGAGTCCGATTCGGACATGGGTTCCGTGCGCACCCTAAATGCATGGTTTTATGTTGTCAATCGTTTTGGTTCATACTTTCTAACCATTTACCTATAGAATGCCAGGTAAATATTATTTAGGTTGATTTTAGACATTCTTCCTACCGTATTTTCCGGCGTATAGGCCGCAGTATTTTTGGAAGAGAAAATATCAAAAAGTCGGGGTGCGGCCTATGCGGCGAAAGAGTAAATTTTTTTTTTTTTTTTTTTTTTTTTTAGTTTCGATTTATGGCGCTATGCCTGGCAATGTCTCCCAGCTCAGTAATCAGTGTTTTGACTCACCACTCGGAAACTACAACAACTCTAAAATTTGACTGTCATCTTGGTTTGAAAGTAATCTTTCTAATAGATCTCAATATGTATAAATTTTTTTCTATAACAAATGGTGTACCACAAGGTACACCACTGGTACCATAGGTACTTTATTGTTTTTTATTCACATTAATGATCTTACACATTCTTCTAAAAACGACATTGTTACTATTATTTGTGAAAATTTTACAAGCACAAATCAGCGCCTTTAACTGCACCTCGATGTTAAATGAAGGTCCTTCCACGCGTGGGTTTTCGGCTTTTTTTTTTTTTTTTTAATGTCAAAATCGGGGGTGCGGCCTATACGCCGGCGAATACGGTATACACAAATGATATTTTCAGGTGATTGGTACACTTTAAATTCATTACTTCATGACAGCTGGCTGGTCAGAGCAAGCTCCAAACAAATGGCTTGTTTTGTGGCATTCCCTAAAATATTCTTATAGCAATAATCCTATGTATGTTGTTCCATCTCGTTGACGATAGGCTGGAGCAGGCCCCAAGCAAGTGGAGTACCCTCTAACACCGCAACAGAAAGTCTCCATCACAAGGAACATTGAAAAGATGCTCTTTGAAGTGCTTAAGGATCCCAAGGAGGTAAGAGAAATGAAATGATAGAGGTGTTGGTGATGATGACGATGGTGGTGGTGGTGGTGGTGGTGGTGGTGGTGGAGGTGGTGATGCTGGTGAGGAGGAGGAGGAGGAGGAGGAGGAGGCGGCAATAGTATTGATGATAGAAAGGGTGATATGTTGACAAGGAAAAAGCAAAAGTTATCCCTGACCTTCCAACAAATTCAAAACAGTGAAGGAAAAAAGTAGGTGAGGTTGATAATAGTGGGTGATAGTGATGGTAAACTGATGCGATGTTGAGCTGGTGATGAAAGCATTTGCAAAGATGCTGATTAGAATGATGATGATCTACAGTACACGCCGAAAATCTCTGCAACACGATTTACACGATTAAAAATTTACACGATTTGAATGCTCGTGGGAATCGTGTAACCATTTATTTTACATGATTCGTCTTTTGCCAATTCAGCGAAATTTGAATCGTGTAAAATTACATGATTCCTTAATTCAGGTTGAATCGTGTAATCTGCACGCCGAAAATCTCTGCAACACGATTACACAATTCAAAATTTACACGATTCAATTGCTCGCTGAAATTGTGTAAAGTTATTTTCAGTGGTGATGGTGAGCAGATTATGATGTCTAGTTCAGTAGAGGCAGGAATAGCCAACAGCTGAGAGGAGGAGGGGGGGGGGGGGAGGGTTGAACGAAGACAACGGGCACGAGGGGGGAGAGTGAAGATTACGCATTCTGTCTCTCTTATATATTTTTAATTGCGGTGTGTGTCTCTAGATTAATTTTAGACTGAAAATGAAAAAATCAGTTCACTTCCCGAAAAGCACCCTCGGATTTAATCCTCGGAGAGAAAAAAAAAGTAGAAGTGATGAACAACAAAGGAAGGGGGGTATTCCTTAGTTGTAAATAAATAAAAACGGTCACAAACAATTACACTTTGATTGCTTATTGCTTTTTTTACTTTCCTGATTTTAGTAAATTATCTTTTACAACATTGCATTCAGCTACATGTATGAAGAGCCACGGTCAAGGATTAATGGCACACTTCCTGTCACATACAAAGGAAGCTTACTCTGAATGTAGCCTGCCATTTGACCCTCGCTGGGGACAAAGGGCGTTGCCCTAGCTACAGGTAGTGTTGTAGATCCTTACATAAAACCTATCGTTCAGAGGGTCCTATGTTCAAGGGGATAAAAGTAACAAGGGGCAAATATAACAGCGGCTCCCACCCCTATTAGAAGCGCGCTATGCGTATTCGCCCTGCACAGCTTCTAACATCTATATATGTAATACGCTAAGGCTCCACAGGGGGTGCGACGTCTTGGCGAACCTTTGTATTCTATTGTTTTTTAATGAGATCGCCAACCCAAGTTGGTGCGGCTATCTCCTCCTGAACCCTCCCCTCGGGGTACCCGTGCCCGGTGCCATCGTCCGCGGGAGAGTCTACTCTGTGGAATTGGCTATACTCCACCTGAGGTCCTCCTCCGTGTCGACGTCCAGGGCGAAAACAGACGCGACATGCATAATGCAGGATATGCGTGATGACAGAGATACCTCATGGATATTCAACATTACATCCGTAGACACATGACCGATGACTATCCACTCACATTAAGTTGCGTATTAAATGCACCATGCACAGGGTCGGGATTCCCCGAGTAAAGCATCTTTCTATAGGATATCCTTTGTAGTAGCGCTACACAAGCCAGAGAGATACACGGGGCTTCCCGTCGACGTCCAAACTTAGAGACATATTTCCATCATGATTGCCGCGATTTGTATATAGTTTTCGTGAATCGAGGTATGAAATCAAAGCTTATTTTGTGATTTTTACGGCCATGCTTACTGAATTTTGATTATCATTTTCTAAAGGAAAGTTTTCACAAGAAAACCATTGGACTGACAGTTCAGTCGCAAGCTGCCTTCAGTCTACACACACATACATACAGTACACACAGTGCTGCTGCGCTGTGTCGGCCGTGGGTAGCGTACGAAGGTGCGAAGTAACGCTAGGCTAGCGGCCTCATGAATAAACATGAGTACTTTGGCTGAGTGAGGTAGAGTCGAAGAGTATGGGGGGCCAAGCAGGCCAATAATCGTACAACTATACAATTACACATACGTCTATCCATCCATCGAAGAACCCGTCAACACAACAGCGTGCGGGCCGAAGTGCCATAATTGTGGACACCTATACAACTATACGACTCTCAGCTATACAACTATACGACTCTACGTCTACTCAGCCATCGGAGACTAATATTGTCTTATATCTACAGTAAATAAAAAGAAAATTTAAACAAGGTTATGAATTGTACATTTACATATTAATAGTTCAATATCAACCAGAGTGGGGGGGGGGGGGGGGGGGAGTGCTGAAAAAAAAATCTGCATCACCTTGCACCATTCTTACATGTTACATGCAGACTCCAAGAAACGTTTTTCAAAGTGGGGGGGGGGGGGATCAGTTAGATCGCAGCGAGTTGAGTGTTTATAGATGTGGGGTCTACGGGTTTCAAGGGGCCATAAACCCCCGAAAGCTCACAGGTTTTAGGCATTTAATTAGGGTTAGATCGCAGCAGGTTGAGTGTTTATAGGCATGGGTCCACGGGTTTCAAGGGGCCATAAACCCCCGAAAGCTCACAGCTAGGTTTTAGGCATTTAATTAGGGTCAGACGAGCATATTTTTAATACTTTATTTGTGACACTGGCAGGTCACTATAATTGGCGTGGGGTCCATACGTAGATTTGCGTAGTGTTGCGTACCAACTACGCTGGCCTACGTTACTACATGCTGATGGACGCAAACAATTCAACATGCTTAATTTTTTCCGCGTACTTTCGGCGTAGAAAATCGACGCAAAAAGTACGCCTTTTCACGCAACACTACGCTACTGTACGCCATGCCTACGCAACAGTACGCCCTACGCCAGATCGACAAAGCAGTAAAAGCTTTCCACACAGTAAGCAACCGTAAGCCAATATAAGCAAACATGTACACTAGCCTATGCATAACCTACGCAGGGACTACAGTGAAGCAACATTTTTCCATTAATACGCAGCCTAATTTCTGCGTAGTCAATACGCCACACTATGCAACTCTACGCAGTTCCAGTGTGAAAGAGGCTTAAAGAATAACTACCGGTAGAGTTGGATCATTTTTTTTTTTTTTTAAATAAATGGCAAATAAAGTTCTTGGTGGTTTTAATTTAGAGAGTCTCTGTCATGGGCTTCAATCCTTACGTAATACCTATTGTTCAGGGGGGATGATCTATACGTAATACCTATTGTTCAGGGGGGGTGATAGATCATCCCCCTGAACAATAGGTATTGCGTAAGGATTGACGCCCATGGTCTCTATATATCTATTTACACCCCCGCCCCCTCTAGAATCCCGCGGATTTCCGCGGGTCCTGCTAGTCACTATAAGTAATACGCTAAGACACCGCGGGGGGCATGACATCTCCGCGAGCCTTTGTATTGTATTGTTTTTTAATGAGATCGCCGACCAAAGTTGGTGCAGCTATCTCCTCCTGAACCCTCCCCTCATATCTTGGAATTACGTTTCCATTTCCCAATAAAAAAAAGTTACGATCGCTTTATTTCTTAACCGTTAAAACGAATTTTGACGCTACGAGCTGGTTTTAATACAAGTATTTTCCTGCTCGAAAAAAGATCGCATTCATATAAAATAAATTGTTTGTCTTTTCAAATTTCTGCCGACATAGTGTTGGAAGTATCATTTTTATATAGACAGCACGGGGCACCTTTTGAAGGAAAAAGAGCTATTTTTATTTATCTTTTTAAACAACTTATAACATTCATTCTCTCAACTTTTGATTTTCTGAAGTTGATAACAGCGGAAACAACCTGGTAAAATGAATTTTGACATTACGGAAGACTTCTAATACAAGTATTTTCCCGCTCGAAAAAGATTACATTTATAAATAATAAATTGTTTGTATTTTCAAATTTTCTGCTGACATACTGTAGTGTTGGAATATGAAAATTCTCTTTCAAGCTCACGCGCGACAAACTATCAATTCATATAAATTCATATAAATATAAATATAACATTACCAACTCTCGTTAGATCCTCTTTCAAACTCACTCCAACTAACTTTCGATTCATGATACTCTTACTCAATATCGACGGAATAAATGGAGACAAACAGACACGTTTTTACTATGCATTTCAATGAACTAAACGAAAATATAACATTACTTACTCACGTTAAACTCTCTTTCAAATTCACGCCAACTAATTTTCGATTCATAATAATCGTAATCAATATCGACTGAATAAATGGAGACATACAGACACGTTCTTACTTATTTATTTAAAAACCAATGAATTAAATAAATATAAAAATATCACATTACCTACTCACGTTTAGACCCTCTTACAAACTGACGCGTGACAAACATTCAATTCACAACACTCGTATTCAACATCGACGGAAATAATAAAGACAAGCAGACACAGTCTAACTAATTTATTATGACAATAATCAAATTCCATTATTAAAACAAGATTAAATTAGACCCTCTTTCAAACTGACGCGCGACAAACATTCAATTCACAACACTCGTATTCAAAATAATAACGACAAGCAGCACATTCTAACTAATTTATTATCACAATCAAATTCCATTATAAAAACAAGATTAAAATTAATAAAATATTACATTACCTATTGCCAATCCTAGGTTTGGTACTCGGGCTCGTCTTCACAGTCCAATTGATCGTCGTTGATTGGTTGTACGGCCTCGGCATAGATTGGTCGTCCGAGGGTGGCTTCGAGGGCGTTGACAGGGATTGGTTTTCGGAGGATGGTAGCGAAGACCGGTTGGCGGTCGCCGATGGCGACATGGATTGGTTGTTGGTTGGTGGCCTCGGGTTGGTCGGGTGCGACTGGTCCGGCTTGGTCGGGTGCGGGTCTTCCGGCTTGGTAGGGGTCAGCTGGTCCGGCTTGGTAGGGGTCGGCTGGTCCGGCTTGGTCGGGTGCGGCTCTTCCGTCTTGGTAGGGGTCCGCTGGTCCGGCTTGGTCGGGGTCGGCTGGTCCAGCTTGGTAGGGTGCGGCTCTTCCGGCTTGGTAGGGGTCGGCTGGTCCAGCTTGGTAGGGTGCTGCTCTTCCGGCTTGGTAGGGGTCGGCTGGTCCAGCTTGGTAGGGTGCGGCTCTTCCGGCTTGGTAGGGGTCGGCTGGTCCAGCTTGGTAGGGGTCTGCTGGTCCGGCTTGGTCGGGTGCGGCTCTTCCGGCTTGGTAGGGGTCGGCTGGTCCGGCTTCGTCGGGTGTGGCCCTATTGGTATGTGAGAGATGCGTAGTCCCATATACATCTTTCTGTGTACAGTGCTTGTAACTTTACGAAGACTGGGCCAAATCATTTTGATAGTTCAGCCATTGGTAAACTATTCTCGCTTTAACTCTATTTGTATGTTTTACTCTCTTCGAAGCTTTGTACTCCTTGCATGTCCCTTGCATGTAATAATGAAAAGAAGAATATTAATAAAGATAATAATAACAAAAATATAGAATAAGAAGAATATTAATGGACATTTTTTACAGCGCTTCATGATGTATTATTTTTTTGAAAATGAATAAGAGTTGGCATTATTTCTTGATAGGAATATTAAACATCTGAGACTTGGCATTTCTAAATTGTACTTAATTTAAATAAATGGGCAATTCAACACTGTGGTGGAAATTTGCTTTAAAGGAACGCAAACAAAAATCCAGGAAAACATTCATGTAAGTTTGAAAAACGATCCGATAAACAAGAACAGATAATGCAACAAAGGCCTTTGCGGGGCATTCAATCACCCACCCTTGATGATAAGCCGGGTAGAGGTAATTGTTTAGCTATAGAAAGAAAGACACGCAACCGATATTATTGAAAGTTTACAACAACAAAACAAATTATGTCTCACTCAAGTCTACAATACACGTATCTCTCTCTCTATCTTCTCTACTCTAACTATCAAAATTAGCTCGCAGACAAAAGCCCTTGTTAGTCGTAATTTATAACACAGAGTCTGATTTAAGAGACTGTAATACGTCATGTACTGTTAATTCTCTCTCTCTCTCACTTTTTCTTTTTCAAGCGTCGGTGATATTGTAATTGATTTTCTTTCTTTTTTTCGGCTTATTAAAGATGGTGAAAAGAGTAGAAGAAAGATTGTGAAAGAATGAAGACAGATTTATTATGAAATTGCATCAGGCCGCCACAAATATGTCCTGAGTCGGCGCTCTCAGAACAAAGGCGCGTACCAGTGTCAAATAGACGCGGTGTTTTGAAATGTTGGTGTTGATTGACATGATGCCTCATTAAAGATGGTAAAAAGAGTAGAAGAAAGATTGAGAAAGAATGAAGAAAATATTTTGCATGAAAATGCGGATGAATCTGAATGATCAAAATGAGAGGAAGAAAGAGGATGCAAGAGATGGTGGGTGTTGAAAGATCGGAGGACTAATGAAATAATACATTAAGATAAAAAGCGAGAGTGGATATTTGTGGTTACCATCATATTTCACCGTTCTAACCTAGTGTTATTACGACTGTTAATTAAAGTTCCCTATAGGAAACCAAAAAATATCGATGGACGATGCTCCCCCCCCCCTTCTTCCCCCTTCCCCCGAAAGATTGATGGGAATATGAAACATCTATGACTTGGCATTTATGAATTTAACTTAATTAAAATAAATGGGCAATATAACCCTCTGCTGAAAATTTTCTTTAAAGGAAAGCAAAACAAAATCAGGGCAAAACATTTCTGAAGTTTGAAAAACGATCCTATAAACAAGAACAAATAACAAAACAAAGGCCTTTGCGGGATGTGAAAACAGCCATTCAATCACCCACCCTCTACTCAAAGCCGGGTAGAGATCATTGTTTCGCTATTCACCGGAGCCAATGCGTAGGCTGAACAGGTCTATTGTTTCCTGATTCGGGCATAATTAGTGCACCTTACAATTTGAATAGACTGGGTTTAATTTGTTATCACTTTGCTGTTGTAGAAAGAAAGACACTTAACCGATGTCTCACTCAAGTCTACAATACACGTATCTCTCTCTATCTTCTCTACTCTACCTCGATCAAAATTAGCTCGCAGACAAAAGCCCTTGTCAGTCGTAATATAACACAGAGTCTGATTTTTAAGAGCCTGCAATACGTCATGTACTGTAGGTGTAAAAAAAAAAAACATCTGTAGACCAGGGGAAACTCACATCTCCCTGCAAATAGAAAAAACAAATTGGCCGTCATAATCGAATATGTTTATGTTTCAAGATATAGGGTATGTGCCCACAGACTAATTAATCAAATGTCCCTGCTCGAGAATCCTGTATTTCTTTACAGGGGCACATTACGGTGTGGGATCAGTCTAAAGGCCGATATTTTGTTATGCTATCTGTACCATATTTAGATCACGATTCATATTACCGGACGTATTGTAGTTTCACGGTTCTAACCTAGTGTTATCCATTACGACTGTCAATTAAAGTTCCCTAGGAAACTAAAAAATATCGATGGACGATGCTGCATGTTTTACATAATTAAGGCAAATGTTACTATGTTATATTTTTTTAACAGGTATTCCAATAATGCTGTATATAGGACTAAAGATATAAACAAGGGTCGTTTTAACGTTGTATAAATGTTGACGGACTCAGGCCTGGACAGACTAACGAAACAAAGGCCTTTGCGATGTGTGAAAACAGCCATTCATTCAACCAGGCTACCTCGACGCATTGGCTCATTGTTTGGCCGAACAGCTATTGTTTCTCGATTCGGACATAATTACTGCGCCTTATAATAATAATAGACTGCGCGATTAATTGTTTATCATCATCCTATTACGTAATAGGATCGACGGGTTATTAAATGATGTTGGGTATAAAATCTGATACACAAGCACCAAAGTTTCATTTGTGTTTTGTATATTCGATCGCGAAAGACAAGCAGAACCTCACACTCAATTTATCCGACGTCATATCATCTTATCGTTTCGTATACAACGGCGTATCGTCAAGGAAACGCAAGTCAATCTCTCATGGCTAGATCTGAGCCCGAAGAAGAGGAGAATCCAGAACCAAACCGAAGTTCAACAGATCAAAAGAAGTTGTCGCAGTCGACCAGCAGTCCACGAAGACTTCCCGAGGTTGTGCCTACAGCAACGGCTTACATCAATGGCAACGGCTTTCGAGCACATCGTCGCAGACAAGAGGAGGTCGGGACATGCGGGTTGTCGATACCAGAGGTGAAGGAGCATCTTCTTGCGACGGTTCCCGGTAAGATGCGGTTATTGCTGCAACCTTTCTTTAATTTTTCTTTGCGGCTTCAAGAGGCAGGTATTTAGCAAACCAACTCTATACATTTGAACTTAATAATCGCGATTCTTACGTAAATTATTAAGACGCACAGTTCAGTTACACAGTTAAAAAAACATCTGTTCAATTATTTAATGTCCTAATTTGTCTTAATTTGTTTGTTTTTTCAGATTCAAGGACTATTGCTCACCTGATGCAGCCACCGAACAAAGGAGTCAAGGCTGCAGTCCACTACAAGCGACTGATTCCTGCGAGGGTTCCAGCCAAGGACAACTCTGCGAAGAAAGGGAACACGATCAGCCACTTTTATTCGGCCAGGGTCGGCTACCTACTCCTACACAAGCTCTAGTCTTCTCAACAGACAACAAGAACAAGCTCAGGGTCGGGGACAGCACTCTTTCTGTTGATCGGCGGATCAACATCAACCGCTACTACCCCACCGATGACACACCGCAGTACCTGGACCATGACTTCCCGAATCCAGGATACACCATCACCCCATCCGGTTACCTAGAGCTTCATCCTAGTTCAACCCTTTGGATACTCTAGGTAGAGAGCAGTTGTGCAAGTAATTTCTTTCCTACTTCCTGTCTCTCTCTGTCTCTCCTCTGGACATCACAATAATGTGATATTATAAAGTCCCAAGTTCAATTAGAGATGTTCTTCATCTGATTCACATGTTGCAGGAAATGTAATACTTGTTCACATTTTTTTGATTTAACAATCACGTACGTAAAAATAATTACTGTTTCAATTGTATTGATAACTATTTTATTTATATGGCCAAATGTAATTATTCTCTACGTTCTCTTCTTTTTGTTTTCTTTTTTGAGGTTACCCACAAAAGGCTCATCGGATGTTTTCCTCCGAAGTGCAAGGTCCCCAACCAGTGTCGCTACCCACATGAATGACGTTCATCACTGCATACTCAATCTCCCACCGGACCAGTGCAAGGTCCCCAACCAGTGTCGCTACCCACATGAATGACGTTCATCACTGCATACTCAATCTCCCACCGGACCAGTGCAAGGTCCCCAACCAGTGTCGCTACCCACATGAATGACGTTCATCACTGCATACTCAATCTCCCACCGGACCAAACAAAATCCGTCCTATTTCTGCTGGCAGATGGTGGACCTGACTTTCATCCAAACCATGGCATCAATGAGCTCTACTATTCCCGACTCTTCCGTGACCTGAATCTGGATGCCATGGTCGTCACCTGTTATGCGCCGGGAGATTCTGCACTCAACCCCATCGAGCACTTATGGGCCCCCTGCACCCGTGCTCTCACCAGTGTGTACCTACCAACAACACTTCCCGGCGAGGATAGACCACCAAACAAGCAACCAGGCCTTTCAGGTGATGAACTTCAGAATAAGGAAAGTATGGTATTCAACTCAGCAATGGCTAAGGTAAAAGACATCTATTGGCGCAATTTACGTTTTGCCGGGCAGCGTGTGACTGTTCATGTTGAGCCGAGTGGTGAGGCCCCTCATCCGTATGGGCAGGATTATGGGAAAGTTAAGCTTGCCATCAACAAGAGCGCTAGGCAACTGCGCCAGAGTGATTTGTATCCCGAGTTCACATTTATGTCGAAGCACATCGACAAGCGGATCGGGACAGTTATTTTTGCTAAGTGTGACGGAGCAGACTGTTGTCATTGCGCGGATCATCCTCCCTCTCTTTCAGCTGAGGACATGGCCATTATGCGTAAGTTTCCATCACCTAAGCCATCAGTGGATCACCCAGGACATTTTGAGACTTTCTTAGAAGCTTTATCCTCCACTTCCAACGTTTCACCTTGTGAACACATGCCAATATACCAGGAGAAGGGCTTAGGCAGGTGCTGCAAGGAGGGCTGTCGATACGTCTACACCAGTAAGAAGGACCAACACGACCATCGTCTGAAAGTCCACATCCGTGTATGATTATTGTATGATTAATACCACTTTGTTTGTCTGATTGGTATAGGTTGGCTGTTTTAACGCTTTTTTGATTACATTTATTCTTTGATTACGTATGATATTATACAGTTATACATACAAGTATACAGTTTCATATTTTCAGGACATTGCTTCATTGAGTAGCAAATTCAAGAAATTCATATTGACATTTATTCACTGATTAAATATGATATTTTACAGCTAGACAGATATACAGGTATACATATACCGTTTTTAATTTTTGGGACATTGCTTCATTGAGTAGCATATTCAAGAAATCTTTTTTCCCCACTTTAATTCCAATGGTGGACTACACCAGTAAGAAGGACCAACACTACCATCGTCTGAAAGTCCACATCCGTGTATGATTATTGTATGATTAATACCACTTTGTTGGACTAATTGGTATGGGTTGGCTGTTTTACATTTTTTAATTACATTTATTCTTTGATTATGTATAATATTTTACAGTTATACATACATACATACATACATTTTCGGGACATTGCTTCATTGAGTAGCAAATTCAAGAAATTCATTTTGACATTTATTCAATTATTAAATATGATATTTTACAGCTAGACAGATATACAGGTATACATATACCATTTTGTATTTTTGGAACATTGAGTAGCAAGTTCAATAAATCTTTTTTTCCCACTTTAATTTCATTGGTGGACTGATTGATATAGGCTGTCTTTATTCAGATTAAATATGATATGTATATACACATCTTTTTCAAACTGAACAGTTCGTTTTTGGGGAACATTGTGACAATTCAAGGAATTCATTTTTTAAATGTTCTATGTATCCTATTTGTGTAGATTTGCATGCCATTAAAATATATTGTCATTGGCGTTTCAATCTTTTTTGTTTTAGTAATGTCACAATGAGAATGAGAGTTATAACAAGGATAACAGGATAACGAGATAGGGGCAGTGATGAGAGAGAGAGAGAAGCGAAAGCAATTAAATATCGAGATTCTGATATGTCTATTGATCTTTTTGTGGGTACGATGAAAAGGCACGAATGAAGTTGAAAGTTGGATTGATGGCTGTATCTTGGAAATGTTGTAATCAACACACAAGTTCCAACAGACCGCGATATTAACGATTGTTACGCCTCTGTTCTGAAAGCGCCGACATGTGGAGGGAATGTCATAATAAATCTGTCATTATTTGAATGTCGTTGTTGCGACTGATCAATGGTGAGGAGCAATTATTTCCGATGACAAAAACATTTGTGTCTTAATAATCCAACATTTTAGAATTGTTATAGACATACAGCCAATTTACACCTGTAATCTCTCTCTCTCTCTCTATCTCGATAATAATAATAAATCCAAATCTCGAATCAACACTGTCTCCTTCTTATCTAAAATGAGGGGTCATGTCAATCAACACCAAAGTTTAAAACACGCGTACATTGTTACGCGCCTTTATTCTGAGAGCGTCGACATAGAAGTGGCGGGAATGTCATAATAAATCTGTCATTATTTTATTTATAAATAAGCACACCCTCTACAATTTTTATGAAATTCCGTAAGTCATATTTTATTTATAATTGAAGAAAAAAACACACACACACACACACAAAAAAAATCATTATTTATAAGGGAAGGAATTTAAAAAATAGAGAGGATAGATGAGGTAAGTGATGTAACAAATTTTAAAAAATGATACGCACCAAGTACAGACCACAAAGAAAATTATGTCTGTCTCGGTTTAGGAATAAGATTATATGAAACAACATACTTCATGGAGAGGGGGGGGGGGACAACGGGGCCAGGCCGCTTCCTCCCTGGCCCAAAAAAAGACGGACCCCCCATCCCTGCCCCCATCCCTGCCCCCATCCCTGCCCCCCAAAAAATTTTAAAATAAGATGGTAATCACCACAAATATCCACTCTCGCTTTTTATCTATATGTATCATTTCATTAGTCCTCCGATCTTTCAACACCCACCATCTCTTGCATCCTCTTTCTTCCTCTCATTTTGATCATTCAGATTCATCCGCATTTTCATGCAAAATATTTTCTTCATTCTTTCTCAATCTTTCTTCTACTCTTTTTACCATCTTTAATGAGGCATCGTGTCAATCAACACCAACGTTTCAAAACACCACGTATATTTGACACTGTTACGCGCCTTTGTTCTGAGAGCGCCGACTCAGGTCATATTTGTGGCGGCCTGGCGGGAATGTCATAATAATCTGTCTTCATTCTTTCTCAATCTTTCTTCTACTCTTTTCACCATGTTTAATAAGCTGAAGAAAAGAAAGAAAATCAATTACAATATCACCGACGCTTGAGAAATAAATAGTGAGAGAAAGAGAGCTAGAAGCGAAAACAATTAAATATCGCTGATGTTACCGGAGTTTATGACAAAAATTAAGCCGTCGGAAAGAAATAAAAGTAAGTCCATTATCACCTGCGCTCGAGAAATGCAAAGAGCGACCGATCGCGGGAGAGACAAAACGAAACCAATCAAATATCTGTTGATTTCTATCAATTCTTATGGTGCATTCTATATCGAAACTATTCCGGCACGCAATATCAAGAAGGTAGTCGCTGCCGATCAATCTCGCCTTTGTTTGGATGGCCTATTCATGGAGCATTCCAGAATGCACCCAGATTGCGCCAATTAAGTCGTTAAGTACCGCATTCTAGGTACATTCTGGAATGCGGATTAACAGAACAATAGATTCTGAATGGGGCGTTCTACATGCATTCCAGATGCATTCCGAATGCCAGTTGAATAAATCCGTGGCGCCTAAGTGAATGGCCAACTGGCTTTGCGTTACGTTTTGCTAGCGGTACAGTGCCCACCCCCCACTTTTTTCAAGAATCCAAAAAGTGCCCCTTTACACGTTGGAAAAGTCCCCATTTTACTTTGACAAGTGCCCGTATTCATTTGTAAAAGTGCCCCTTCCCCTTTTCAACTCGGATAAGTGCCCCTTTCATTTTGACACTTTTATTATTTTTTTTTTTTTGACACGCGCCCCTTTTCCTTCGACGAGTTCCTATTTTCCTTTGCAATTAGTGTCCATTTTCCATTCTCATAAGTGTCCTTTTTAATCTCAATCAAGTATTATCCCTCTTTAGGTACGAGAAGTGCCTCTTATTTTTATCGTGCCATTTCAACCCTCATTTTTCTTTTATATGATCCCTTTTCCTCGTAGCTATCTGTTTTCCTGTACTTTTCATCTATCATGTCTTCTTCTTTCTGAAGTTTTCCTACCTTGTCTCATGGTGCAGTTTAGTAGAAAGTGATGAGGTTTATACACGAATATAAAGTACAGAAATTACCTGATGTAGGCAAGTGGTGTAAAAAGCAATTACTTGGTTTAAGCGAGTGGTGAAAGCAAGACACAATTTACAGATTGTTGCAGCTGGTCGAATCATCCTACCAATGCCCTTATAACCATTATAACTATTTACACGATTACACGATTCAGAGCGACAGTCTTCAACCATGTAAATTTACACGATTACACAGTTACACGTTTACACAGTTACACGTTTGTTGCATTTGGTCGAATCATCCCACCAATGCACAGTTACACGATTCAGGTGAATCGTGTAAACCGTGTAATCCAAAAAATATATTGTGTAATCGTGTTGCGGAGAATTTCGGCGTGTACTGTAAGTGATGATATAGACATATAATTACAGTTTTAATTTTGATGATGATGAGATGTTTGTCATGGATGGTATAAGTATGAAGATTTTGATGAAAAAAAGAAGGATATAATTTTATGCATTTTATGAGCAGATTAAAGGTAATACAAAGTTTTGGGAAATTTTGAAAATTGGCTGGATAGTGATTCTTTACAATTTTGATATATTTAGATGCCCCTGTGGATGAATTATAAGCACTAGAAAATTTAGCCCCTCAAACACTTCCACTTTCGATTAGGGATTAGCCAATCGGTCGATTTTATTCAAGAAACATTGTTTCATAGCTAAATTAATAAATTGACCTTGAGAGGGAGCTATACAACATAAAGAGTTTAGTATTTACAATTTCATAACTTTAGACTCGATTTCAACCGCGACAACGATCATTGCATATTGTAGGATTGCATATGCTTCTAATATGTTCATTTGAACCAAATTCATGACCCCATGGCTTTGTATTACCTTTAAATCTCAGGTTCTTATAGCTGCTCTTTATCCTTTATAACATGCTGCATCTTCTCTTTCATTTTCTCTACAACTACAACAGGTTGCATCGCTCTTTCACCTCATCGTCGATGGTCGCTATGACCTCCCCGCTGACCCCATGCCCCCTTCAAGCTAGCATGCAGGTAGACATGCCCATAGACACGCCCATTCAAATACTACCAGCAATAGACCACCTCAATCAAAACTCTGCCTAGGTTTGATCAGTTCTGATTCAAGGAAAGAAGTTTTGGTGATTGAAATCCATTATTATTCCCAAAAAAAATTGATGGTAAGCTTAAATGGGAAATTCTACCTTGATATATGCCAGGTGGTTCACAAGGGGGTTAAAACATGTAACAGCGACAGGTTTGAATTGATATTGTACAGGTTTGAAAATGAGGAACAGCCTTATATTAGTTGTCAACCAAAATTATTTCTGAAATATTAGTCATACAATGTTTTTGGAAATGCTTCAAATTTTGGATCCGATTGCACCAGAGTGCATCCAAGAACCTTAAAGCCCTTAAACAAGCCTTGGAGCCTGGCCACAAGGGACTTTGTACATGTTTGAATTTTAGTTTGTGGACCATCCTCTAGGTGGATTTTGATATTCAACTAAGAGCAAGTCATGTCTGTCTCTGTCTGCAAGAGAGGGATTTAAAAATATTTACTATAAACATGCTTAAAAAGCTATTACATGCGTAGGTAAGGTGTAATGTAGTCATTAAGGGGTTCTCACCTAAAATCATTTACAGCGACATGAAATGTTTGTGTGTAAAGTCTGAAAGACATGAAGTTTTGAGAATATATAATGTATATATATATATAGAGTACTGTAAAACCAAAAATAGGGTTAGTGAATTTTGCCTATGGATAAGATTCAGGCACTGAATTCTGCATTGTGAAAGTTTCTTGCCGTGAAAATGGCTGCCGCGTATAATTTGCCAAAGTTTCTAGCTTTTGTGGCAAAAACCGGTACTTGTAGTTTTCAAATGAAACAATTTAAAAAATGAATATTGTAAGATGTGAGATTAAACCGTAAGCAGCTGCTAGAAAAAAAAATTGATGGACGGGAACCAAATGAGATTTGAGCCATTTCTATATTTTTGTTTTGTTTTTCGATCTTGTTCGCTACTGAAGCAAATCATTCATATATTTTCCCCGCTGCAAACCCACTTCAAATTATTTTCATTGAGATACTGTCTGAACCCGTTGACTACTGAACTTTATAGGTCCCATAGGCTTAACACAGAGACCACCCGGTTCCCGTATAAAGCAAAGGATTAACAGGTAGTATCAAAGAATACATAATATGTAGGACAGAGCAAAAATAAAAGGAAATCTAAAATCATTTCGTAAATCTGATTTCCAATATCAAATTCATTAGGAAAACTAAAAGCTGGAAATGCCCTTGTATATATAAAGCATAATTGTTTTGGGTATTCATTGTTACATCAATCTTCCATTTTTCTTTGTACCTACTTTTTTCTGGTTATTGAGTCTCTATGTCTAGTAGAGTGTGTTTGTTACGAGCCAAATTCATGTCATATCTGAAATACGTAGAGGATGTACTCTTTATCACTTGGACTGTTCTCCTTCGAAATATCGGTAATCTGTAGTACTGTAACTATTTCTTCATCTTGTGTAAGGTTCCAAAAGTTCATTTGTGTAACAATTTTATATGTATATTAAGATACCTTGAATTATGTATACTAAAATTTTAAAGATATAGTAATGCAAGTGGGGCCCTGGAAAGCTCTCAAAGAGTTATTTAAAACAGCAAAAAGGTTAACAATAATAACAACAACAAAGCAATACTAGATCACTGTGAGGGAATCCCACTATTCCATTGGAAAGTCCCAACATAGCTCAAGCAACAACAAAAAGAAAAGGAAAAATAAAATATATTCTATACTTTACCAAAAGGAACAGAATCCTCCTTTTTTTTGTCTTTGAATTGAATTGAATTGAATTTGCATTTATTTCATTCTCGATTAAAAATTACATTGATACAAAAGATACAAAATTATTCATGAACAAATTTAGAAATGAAATGGGGAACTACATAAATAAAGCCCTTAGGCCTTGTACAAGCATAGTTTCCAAAGCATTCATAGCATAATGTAAAGCAAAGATTAAAACAAACAAAAAAGATATAAAATAAATAAAAACATAAGATATTAGTAACTATACATATTTGAGATAAAGAAACTGCTTAAAAATTTTTTTTGAAGGAATTAATTGACTTGCAATTAGAAATATCTTTGGGGATGGAGTTCCAAATTACAGGGAAATTATGACGTACTGATTTCATTACCTTATTTGTTTTTACTGGCCATAAGTGAAAAGAATCCTTAAAACAGGTATTGTGGTTATGTATCTGGTAATTGAGAGTGAACACCTGAAAAATATTAACAGGTAATTTATTTTGAAAGTAAAAGAAACCAAGGAGGGCAATGGCTTCTAATCAAGTCTGAAGTAAGCATGTGTACATTTCTGGATAATTTGTTTTTTTAGCAGTCGTTTCCACAAGAGTCAGAAACTGTCAGGAATCTATTATTTTACAGAACTTTCTTATCTTGATTTTAGTGTACATTTAATGTTCTAGCTCAGTAAAATGGAAAGAAATGTTCGATTCGCGTGACTAAGAGCAGTAGAAATTGTTAGTTTTTAGTGAAGTAAGTTTGCCAAAATGTGTCTTGCTGCTGGAAAATTGTTGCAAAATCGTTGGGTTTTAGTTGCTAGATTTTTTTAAATGGTGATGGGCAGGCACATTCTGATATTTAATGGCTTTTATTGAAGGAAAGAACAAACTATTAAAGCAACTGAAATTGACATGGTACATGTATTTTTCATAACTGTTGAAGGTCTTTCTTATCAACATGATCACAGGAACTTAACAAAAACGTATGCATTAAACTGGTTTCATTACAAAAATAGCCTATTAGTAGCTTTGCATGTCACCTTTTGAAATACACATATGCAAACAATGACAATGACATATCACATAATCTGAGAACGATTTCTTTACCGACATATGATATTGCTATAGATATTTTCACTAACATATTCAAACAGTATGCATACCATACTTTAAAAAAAGGGTTGTTCTTGACAACCTGTAAGCTTGCCCTAGGCTTGTTTTAGGCATAAATGAATAGCGACAGACAGACTTGTGCATATTGATTGAGCTCTGTGTTATAGAATGTGAAGCGTATTATGAAACAATGCTGAGGTTTCATCATATGAACAAGCCTAATTTACACTGTGTATCACGGTCGTTATGAACAAAATGGCCACGTTTCCCATGCCATATGTGAACACACTTTAAAACATGATGTGAGTTATGAAAAACCAATAATCTTGTCATATTAAAAGAACATTGATTCTTGTTGAACAAATATTGTATGAATGTAGAATATACAGCTGTCTCCCATTCTTTTTTCACAGTTAATGTCTTAAGTTTTGTGAAAATATTTGACAATGCTGATGTATACATGTCGTTTGACAATGCATGAAGAATCGTTCTTGGAGCTATTTTACTTGATGCTTGACTGTTTTCATGAAATTCATTTACCTATGTATAGAGGGAACCCAAGTTATAAAATCAACTCGGCACAATGAGCTTATTTAATAAATAATGTTTAATCACCACTTCTATGCAAGAAACCCTGTATCAGATTCTTTGCAGAATATGAAAATGTTCACATTCTTATGTTTTTCTTCTTTCCTTTCCTTAAATGCATATTATTTCTCGCATAGTTGACTTTGAAGGTTTGTTCACATATGGCACAGTAAACTGCCTCCAATAAGCCAGGGCAGTTTAAAAAAAAAACATATGTGAATGCACCTGCACGCAACAGTGGACTTTCACGTATTCACTAAGCTCTGTGCTATAAGATGCAGCAATATGCAGCGTATTTTACTTCACGTCATAAAAAACGCAGCGGTTTTGCCGCGGCATATCTGAATGAGCCCTTAATTACCGGTAATGTAGATACTTGTAGTATACTTGAGAGAGAACCTTATCTGAAGGTTTTTTTATTTACTTATATACGCAGAGCGAAATGTGTAGTGTAAAGTGTAGAGTTTCGAACAGTGTATATATTTGCTGCATACAGTGACAAATGAAATCGGTGTTCATTTTTGTTTCTAATCTTTTGTAATGGAGATACATATGATTGTGATGATATACAGATTATTTTTTATTTATATCATGAGAAATAAATATTTCTTCTTTGTCATGCCAAAGTCACTTCTGGATCTTTAATGTTTGTTCTTTTGAGTGTAGCTGATACGATTATTTAGAGGCCTATAGTTACCGGGAACACAATTGCAAATACTGTCAGAAAGAAAGTCACCCTACATACAGTTAACAACTTCTAAGTAATTCATATCCCTTGTAAACTTGATGCTTTTTGTATTATTTGTAACTCAACAATGAAAGGTGGACTGGTTGAATTAGGATTTTTGTTAAAATCTGTTAGATGTGAGCTTTAACATGTCACATTCTCACAAAACATAAATCGGGACGAATCATTTTTCCCCTCTAGTGCACTGTACTTAAATAATTACCAAACTTGGTAGGGGTATGAATAATTTAGTTGTTAAATTTATGTATGCCTTATGTGTCTTTTATATATTTACCATTCCTATAGCACTAACGATTTCTTACAAAAAATATCTTTAGAACATGCAATCCCATAGTATCTCTCACTCAGAGTCAATACTTCATCTCCAACAGAAGTCCAATTAGTGGTGATGGTGAGGGAGAGCGAGATTAGAAGGTCCTTGATCATATTCAATTACTGAGTCGGTTATCTTCCTGTTTCTTCTTTACTCTGCTCCTTGAATTAACCCTTTCACCCTGGCTTGCTCATCAGTTTACTTGAATAGTGGCATCCTTCTTTCTTTGGGAGTGAAGTGGTTAATAGGAAGTGTGTTGGATGCCACCTGTCGGTAGTTTAACACATGGTGATCTAGAAGATGATCTCTCTCTCTCTCTCTCTCTCTCTCTCTCTCTCTCTTTCTCTCTCTTTACCCCTCCCTCCCCTTCCCCTCTCCCTCGTTCTCTCTCTCTCCATCTCTCTCTCTCTCTCTCTCTCTCTCTCTCTCTCCCTCTCCCTCTCTATAATGATAATAACACTATTAAATATTGGGTATTTTTACAGTGCACATTTCCATCACGAAAGATACTCCAATATTACCCAAACTCGGCTAGGCTACCGTTTTCGGTGATCACAGCATTCGGGGAATTCCTTCCTACCAGTACCTAGGTATGGAAAGAGGCGAAAGTCCTGGCAAAGGACACTAGTGCTGCAGCGGAACTTGTATATATATATATATATATATATATTCTCTCTCTCTATCTCTCTCACTCTCTCTCTCTCCCTCTCTTTCTCGCTCTCTCTTCCTCCCTACCTCTCTCCCTGTCCCCCCCCCCTCTCTCTCTCTCTCTCTTATTCCCTTCCTCTCCCTGCATCCCCCTCTCTCTCTCTCTTTCTATTTCTCTTCATTCCTACCTGCCTCTTGATCTTCCCCTCTCTCTTGGATGACTAGTCTGAGCTTTAAGCACAAAATTAACCCCAAGTTCCTGCTCCTTTAAAGGGCTGTAATGATTTGAATGATGACATAAAATAATTATAATAATAACTTAATTAATGTTTTAAAATGGCATTGTTTCATTACTCATGCAATTTTATCTTCTGTTAAAAGGAGCTAGCGTCTATTAATAGTTGGTGACAAATTTCTATATATATGAAATGATATGGAGTTGATAATGACTCTGATCCAAGATGACTGTACGTTTTAGGAAGGAAGGAGTAAATAAGAGCAGTTGGATCAACTAACAAAAGGGAAGTGAGCTGAAAGAGATGTGTTAGAGAGAGAGAGAGAGAGAGAGAGAGAGAGAGAGAGAATGCAAGTGTTGTGGTATAGTGGTTCATTCACTTGACTCATAATCCAAGGGCTGAGGGTTCGAATCCCAGCCCGGGACTTACGTCCTGTGGCAAGATATTAAACCATATTTGCCACTCACCGGTCACCACCCAGCTGTAAATGGGTACCTGGCAATTATGCCCCCCCCCCCACTCAGTGTTGTTTAGGGTACGCATATGTATGTTCCCACCTTTTGAAAACACGCCCCTAAATCCGGTGTGTAAAGTTTATACGGGCCAGATTTTTTTGTACTACGAGCCGGACCTAGGTGCGTGTAAAGTACCCCTTTACCGGATTTTGGTAACATGCATGGTATCCCTCCGTTCACGGAGTGGGGGGGGGGGAGGGGCGGGGGAGGGGGCGGGGGAGGGGGCGGGGGAGGGGGCGGGGGAGGGGGCGGGGGAGGGGGCGGGGGGGGGGTAATAGTGATTGCCCTCATGAAGAACAGCAGTGATGTTGATTAAGTCTCCCTGGGTAAAAAGATTATTATTATCATTATTATTAATATTATTATAGTTATTTTTGTTATCATCATTAGTATTATTATAACATATAAGCTGGCCCCGACAGCTACACTATCAATGAACCACCGGACAACAACTCCAAAGCATGTACGAGTTCAGGCCCCTGTTACATAAAGCAATTGATTTGATTGGATATCAGTGTCAATTTTAAATAGAACTTATCTTTGTGTTATGCTAGACCTAGGGGAGTTGACGCAGGGTATATACTAAGGTAGACGATAGGCATCAGGGGTGATAGTCCGGGGGTAGGGGGTGGGGGGTTATGTGCCTTAAAATTTGTCTGATGATACAGGTAGACAGTGGAGTGTAGCGACAGTAATCAAAATTTATGTAAGGAAATTTGAAACTAGCTCATAATATTTATTTAAACAAAAAAGCAAAAATAAATCAGAAATCCCTATCTGAATTCCGTCGAACGTGATCTTTCGGATAATTGATTATTTCATCCCTTTCCATCAAAGAGGATCATACATAGTAATGTGGAACCATCACACCAATTTAATTAACAGCCAACTCCACAGTATACCTCTGATAACGTACATGACTCAAACTAGCCCATAATGACAAAGAAACTACTCACTACCGGATCAAATCGCCTCAAAAGTCTTTAAACCTTGTTTTAGTCTCATGTCACCTGAGATATATCCCCTTGTAAGGCCCAGACTATGATTCAAGTATTGCTATGACTAGATGAATAGACCCCCTTCCGTGGTTTTGTAGCTTAAATCTCAAACTATGAGTTTAAACCGATCAAGATTAAACCGACAAATCAATTTTGTCACAAAGCAATTAGACAGGGCACCGCCCAAATAGAGTATGGGTGACTCGTCCTGTCGTTGAACCAGTGTATGCTTGAGAATGTTTTGTATTCAAGGACTTGGCGAGTTCATCTATAAGGTAAATAGTTGAATCAGCAATAGTAGTTGGGTCTAAGGGAGGGGGAAGGGGTAAAGTGCAAGAAATAATAATAATAACTTGTAATTTCTTATTTATCTATTTATTTATTCAGGCCCTTTTTATTATTTGTTTGTACTTTCTTAATTTCATAATGTGCCTCGGAATAGTTTACTAGATACTTATATAAGGTGCAATATTATTGCAGTATATATTACTATTATTATTATTATTATTATGAAGCATTACCAAGAAGTATTTAACTTTAATAACAGTAATTCTTCATGCGATTTTCAAAAATGTTATCAAATATGTTCTTTGTTTTCACTCATATTGCGTATACCATCTCCAATCCCTTGAAAGTATATGACAGAGTTAATTATATCTTCTCCTTTTCCGCTGGAGAAACATAACCATAGTGAGATAGATAAGTACAAGTAGCTTTTAATAATACTGATTTTCAGAAAGAAGACTTTATTAAGTAAGAGGTGGGAGAACTCATTCATTCAGATATTTTGCCGTCCAGGAGATAGTTAATAGAAATGATATAGTTTTAACTGAAGAATATACAAATTGAAAGAATAATGAACTTGAACTTCTCCTATACGATGATTCATTTGAGGGATGAGTTCCCTTTCAATCTCTTATTGTCTCACTTGCTAGGCTTTCCTTGTCTTGAACTTTCTCGCGGTAAATTATCTTGCGATGGAAAATCATTCGCAGATGCTTCCAAGTGTTGTTGAAAGATTGGGATATCCACCCCTCACCATATCCCACCTCCCTTGCTCCCCATCTCTTTATGCTTTTCATTCGTTTTTTTATATTTCTTCCTTGATTAGCACCCCTCTCTCTCTCTCTCTCTCTCTCTCTCCCTCTCCCTCTCCCTCTCCCTCTCTCTCTCTCTCTCTCTCCCTCCTCCCTCCCTCCCTCCCTCCCTCCCTCTCTTTCTCTCTAATATATATACATAATTATACATATATGCTTTTATATACGGTTTTATAAATTATATCGCTCTCGTCAGTCCACGCCTGGTTTATGTACACGGTCCTTGGTATTGTTATATTTACTGTGACGGTTGAACATCCCCTCATCTTTTCTTTATGTGGCCCTCTCTACCAAGTCTGTCTTCACCAGTGGTCTCTCTCCTCCTCCTTCCTCCCTTTCCATCTCCCCCTCTATCTATCTATCTATGTATGTATGTATCTATCTATCTACTATCACATATTTATCTATCATATTATAAACACGCACCAGCCATCCTACTTCCAACCTTAATTTCCCGCCCAGCTTTGGCGATGATTCACCAACAATCCCGCTACATCTGGGTCTGATGATGAACATCTTTCTCAACATGTGGGACTGAAAGGGCGTGTGGATAGAACCATCAAAGTAAATTGACCATATCTAGCGCTCAAGGCATTTGTGAGCGAACTTTTCTATTGTTCTGTTTTAAGCCCACCTGCATCCAATAAGATGAGATCACTGCATTCCCATGAGAAAATAGAAACGCTCTCCTTTTGCGCGTTTCCCTTTCTCCCTTTTTTTTTCAAAACGCCCTTAAAAACTCTGGGGTTTTTTCTCTTTTTTTCTTAAAAACTGTAGTTAGTAATTGATGAGAAACATACGCAAGTCGTGGTGAATGCACATTATATTTAAAATTAGAAATATACATGTTATATTTTGCATCAGCTTCATGGGAAATGTGTCCATTTAAGGTTTCTGAGGAAACACCCATACAATATAAGAAACTGCATTCTGAATGAAAATTTCTCAGAGGAAAATGGATACTGAATTAGACCTACCACGTCATCATCATCAACTACATAATGATCACCAAAGTCATCATTACCACATCATTATCAAAATCATCACCATCACCATCAACACCACCACTGGCATCATCATCACCATCAACACCACCATCATCATCATCATCATCATCATCATCATCACCATCATCTTCACGATCATCATAAGCATCATTATCACTGTCATCGATCATCACCATCACCACCAACAATGCCACCACCATCATCATCATCATTACCACAATATTCAAAATCATCACCATCATCATCACCAGCACCATTATTAACACCACCACCATCACCATCATCGGCATCAACATCTGCATCATTATCACTGTCGTCGTCATCATCACCACCTGACTCTTGAAATAAACAACAAAAGTTAAATAATCTTCACAACAGATATATGGCAAGTACATCCCACATTTATTGAGTCTAATATCTGCAGATATTTTTTTCTTTTGATTTCGTAAAATCTCACATTGAACTGCACTGTACAAAGGAAATATTCCAGCAAACACATTGAAATAGATAGTCTACAATATTCGCCCTAGTTCACTGAATTCTAAACTTTCTTCCTATGACAAAATTATCCACATTTATTTCACAAAAACAACAGATCCACTGAAAAAATGGTGCACACTCTATTAATCAAAACACTATCATCTTTTTCTCCCCCTTTCTTATACTCGTTGGTTCTAAATCTTTTGCTTTCTTTTACTTCCAGCGGTGGGCCTAATACAGAGAAAGTACACAATCATTTTGCTATTAGCAATTAGTGCTCTCAAAATTTCACTTTATGATTTTATCTCTTTTTATATTGATACCAGAGTCTAGGAAGTACATGTAACAAATCTGTGAACCTTGCTCAATTCTTCATTCAGAAAAAAAATTGTGCTTATTATTCCATGCCATTTTCAACACATCCGCAGTTTCATAAGTTATCCAGTACTCTAAAGATTTAAGCACAATATTTGTTAATCCTGAAACATACATTATCAAAAAAGTTGAATGCTATGTTCCACTAAAATTTCTTCCCCAAAGTTACTGGAGTTAATTGAATTCTTTGGAGAAACATTTCCGCACAGCACATATCTCAATTTCCCATAAAATGCATACCTGACGCACTAGTGTTCGTTGTTAAATCATCAGAAGGCCGATATCTCTTCCACCTCCCAGCTTAATCTTAACTTGATAAGTCATCTTCATACCACTTATGATAATATGAGAGAGAGATGGAGATGAGAGAGAGAGAGAGAGAGAGAGAGAGAGAGAGAGAGAGAGAGAGCGAATAAGCCAACTTTTTCATCATAATTATGATGTCATCTTCTTATCATCTTCTTCCTTCCTGCTTTACACATTGCATCCCAAATCAAAGTACAAAAAATCCTGACATGATTCCAAACAGCTTTACACTTTACCAGTTATTAAAACTTTCTCACTCATCATTTTTGTTTCTAAACTTGTTTTCCCCAGTCTTTGTTTCTGTGTGACACATTCAAACAGATGTTTTAAATAAAATGTGATGACAACTCTTTAAAGAATAGTCCTAATTCTTCTTCACCACCTCCCCCAACCCCATGTTACTCATCGACAGATTTCTGTTCTAGTTCCTAAGGAAGGCGATGACAACTCTCCTCCTTATCATTCTTTTTGGAGCCAGAGGGGCATTAATTCCTATACTTTAACAGAGAGTTAACACCCTTCTGGCTGTGAACAGACATGTTCTTTTTCTACATCTGCTGAATGTTAGACAATCCACCTGTTTTGAATTCAATCATTTCTTAACATTCACTATGTTACAAAACTCATCTAATTTACCACATCCTTTCAAATCTGTCATCCCCTTTAAGAGATGTAATACATCTCTATTCCAGCATTCATATTTTAGAAATGTAAGTGTTATAATAGGCCTTTGTTTGATGGCTTGAATTTGTTAGCAAAAAGAATATCACAATATCAAGTATGTTCTAGATTTCCTTTATATTATAACTAAAAGCCTTAATATGTGTGCAAATCTTTAGAAAAATATACTCAAATCAGTTCCTCTATTAGATGTCCAGTTTTTATGCACGTCCCAATAAGCATTTTTTTTATAGTTGGCAAAAATTAAATTAAATTTTATCTCTTACCATGGTCAGGTAATTTGCTGGTAATTGTTTCCAGCATTGCTTAAAATTGACACAAAATACCGTACCGAATAATTTTGTTCCTTTCAAGAGAAGCAAGCTATTTTCTTTTCAATAAAAAGGCATTAAATTCCATTCTTGATTTGGCACAATATTTGTAGATTTCTGATGCACCATTTCTACATGACTATCAGTGGTCACCTTAAGCTTATTTCCCGGAGTCTGTTTGTTTTAATTTTGACAGCTACACACACTATATGCACATTACCAATTGTGTACATTGTGACTTGAACAAGATCATATGTACAGAGATACAGTACAGAAGATTTGAATTTTTACATGCCTTGAAGTAACCATTGTATCTTAGGAAAGAGAGGAGATGAGAGGAGTGAAGTGGAGATAGACAGATAGATAGAGAGAGAGAGAGAGATAGGGAAAGAGAGAGAGATAGAGAAAGAGAGAGAGGGAGCAGGTGAGACACAAGGAGACAAAACTTCATCCCTACATCCTTTTAAGGATGCTTAGATACAATATTACAAAATTACACATTCAATCAAATTGAGAAATAAGGTGCACAAATAATAGTACAAACCACATACATATGAAGAAAAGAAAAAGAAACCTATGAAATTCAAAAATTATACCACAATGTTCACAAAAATAAATTTTTAACATATTATATATCAAATCACCTCTTTTTGTATATTTCTACATATTCAGAAACATATTTTTTCAAAATGGCACAAAAGTACTCAAGAAAACGGCAAACATTTGAAAAAAACAAATTTGATTGCACTTTTCTTTACATCAGTTCTTATACAGCTGGATTAAAATCTCTCTTTATATTATAACATTTATATAGAGAGAGATCTACTACAGAGTAGTCAATTTCAAGCACAAGCTACTTTGCATCTGTGTACAGCACTACATACTTAGTTACATGTTATGACACTATACAATCTGCCCTTATATATTATCACTTGCTTTTTAAAATTATGTTACCATGAATGATGTACTGATGCTGCAGAGCAAGAAATTTCTCAACAATTTTTGTGACAACTTTTAAGTCATAAATATTTTTTTATTTGACCAAAACTGCAATTTAGATGCAATAATAAATATCATTAATATGATGAAAATGACCACAAGCTGTTATCCCTCCTTCTGTATAATACTACATTGTGATACATATTTTGGTAAAATGCAAAGATACAAAAACAATTGTTTGTTTTACTCCTTACATCATTTTCATGGTAACACATTTTCATTCTTGGTGCTATATCACATACACAGCACCACATTGTCATATCTGTACATGTTTTACCCGAAGATCGAGAAATTGACAGACTTTCACTATAGAGCTTCTATGGCACAACTAATCTTCTATTCAAATGCAATTAGCTTCTTCTGCTTCTCAATTCATTATGCAAATCTATTTTAAAAAGAAGAAGAAGAAGAAGAAGAAAAAACACCATCTAAATACATTTACTGACCATCTTTCTGTACAGCTAATTTGCACATTAAGAATTAAACTCAATGATAGTCTAGCATGCAGACCCTATATTGCAGAAATATGTATAATTAAAACTGTTAAGTCTAGGACTAGGACCCATTCATAACACTTATAACAAGGTCTGCAACCTAGACTATCATGGCTAGAATCTCTTTGAGACATTTACACCTCCTTGACTTGCGTGCCAATCAAACAGTGATTTACTTCTCAAACTGGCATAATCTTCTCTCTATTAAGACAAGAATAATTCTATACTGAAATCTGATGCTAAAGTTTACATTGCGGAATGTTTGATGAAAGTATATGTCATGACACTCATGAATTTCATTCTAATATTTGGCACGATAACTAAAGGGATGATATTTTAAGGGCAAATTATACATCAATGTGATTTTTTTCTTCTCAATTTATATGTATAATGAAAAAATATAAGCTCGAAATGGATGTTTGGCAGGATATAACTCAAGAAATAAACAATTAGAAAATGAAAACAGGAAAATTCTCTTTATACATATATAACTTCCTTAATATATCAAGTAACATTACACAGAGTTATACAAATAATAGCATTTTAACAGGACAGATATACAATATGAATGAAGCATAATACTGCCTGTCACATAGACTAGGACTGGATGTAAGAATACAAACTGAATCGACTTTGAAATTGCATTTGAATATTATACTTGTACATTCAGGATAAATATTTTTGAAAGTTCTGAATAATTCATTCTTTGGGCCATACAAAGGGTTACAAATACAAGTCAGAATCTCTTGATCAAATGACGTACATTATGAGCAAGAAGGGAATTAAACTATGCTTTATAGTATACAATGCCCTTCTGGCTCCAAACACACAATATAGCAATCTGACACGTGAAAGGACATTGAAGTGATTATACCATATTCAATTATTTTAGGATTATCAGCTGATAAAGATTATTCATTTTTTACATATTTATATGAACATGATGAAGAAGTAAATAGTATTCTTATCATACATCCTTACAAAGAAAGAGACTGCAACAATTTAGAGCTTTTCAAACATAAAAAAATAAACTACAGAAATATTCACTAAACAGCTTATAAACATAGAAGAACATGTTAGTATACTGACATGTATTAATTACAAAGAAAACAACTCAATACAAGCAAAGACAGTGTCAGCGTTAGAAGCATAACATAACATTACATAATGCTACAAATGTACATGTAGCCTGATAAATGTTTTTTGAACAGTGACAAAAGTACAGACACAAAACATCATCGCCACAAAGCACACACAATAGTAAAGTCCTATCCAAAACTCATTTGAAACAACACGGAAGAGATTTCCAATATATTAACTTGGAAATAGAAAACAAACAGTAGCAACTAATGAAACTTTAAAATAATCTCTTAGAGTCAGAGACATACTTCTCCAAACAAATGCTAGAGATATTTGTTGACATCATGCAGCAAGTATTGCAAACTAATATTATATAATAGGCAGCGACAGAAAACATCAAATCTAACACTTTAAAAAAAGTGACAAAACAAAGCTTAAGAGTTCTGTTAATGAATTACTAAATATTTTGCAGTCTCCTTAATATAATGATCACAATCCATAGTTTGATCATATCAATTGTAATCTCAGTGTCAATCTATAGACCAAAATATACTTGGCATATATCATGTAATCACTGATGTCAATTTCATTCATTCTTTTTTCCTTTACAGCTAATTATATGCAACATTGCATTCAACATTTTCAGAGTCCAGAAATATAACAATTTCTACAAAATGCCAGCTAAAGTAAATCTGATCGAAATATTTTTTTCTCAGTGATATTCAAAGCAACCCCCACCCCCTGAATATGGTGTAATACAGATAGTACGTCTGTACTGTAATATCAACCAACTTTATATCTTTATTATCATCAGGATCATTACACTTTTTAGAGATATCTAAATGCAAGTACAATTATATTGGACAATTTGTTGTACTTAATAATAAACTTGAGATAAGAGTCATACCCTAAAAGGACTACCCACCGGCCCTATATGAATTCCTTTGATAGAAATATTAGAAATACATGTACATCTATTTAAACGCATAATTACATTAAAGCTATATTTGGGGTAGTAAAAATTAAAAAATCCTATTGAAACTACATGAGTTGTAATGAAAATGTATCAAACATGTGTTTAATTGGACATTGGACAAGCAGTAGATGCAGGTTCAAGTCCCGCTGATTCCAAGAATTTTTCCGACTTGTTTTTCAATGCAGATCGATCAATCGATCTTATTTACTGGGTGTAAGCCACAAATATGTTAAAATAATTGGTGAACTTGTATTCATTTCAAACTATGCCGTCATTTGCAAAGATTAAGGTTAATGTAGCTGTCACAGAGGTGGAAGGGTGAACTCCCTGCAATGATAAAGACCTCTATAACCATCGAAAACTGCTACAATTTTATTGAAACAGTTTAGAGCTGCCAATTTCAAATCTGTAAATATGGATGCTTTAATGAGTCCAGGATATCGATAGTCCATAAAAACTAGTCAAGGGCTCTGTCACGTTCTGATTTGTGAAGAGACCACCCTGTAGATTGACAAGGGAAAAAATGAGTAAAGCGAGTGAATAATCAGCTAATCTGTCTAGGCTGAACGGCACATCCTCGATATCAACTTAAGGTAGCTTTGTCCAAGCGTTGACTGATTGGTGAAGGAACGAGTTTCAGGCTCGACAGAGAAAGATATGAAATCATTCCATCTGTCTGTCTGGCTGGCTGATTGGTGGACAGCAGCTCATTGACGTCTTTTCATCTCCCTCGATTTTCTGCGAGGAAGCCCTCGATGGCTTGCCAATCGAGCTAACGCTAGTCTCCGCTCCCCAACCTTTCTGAGAGATGACAATGTCTTGTCTAGTGGGAGGGGGCTGGGGTGTGTTCTAGAGGGGACTGGAGGTCATAGACTAGCTACCAGGGTTCTTCCTTCCATCAGGTGGATGAATCATAGTCTTAATATAAACACCCAAGGTGTGCTAGCCCCTGGAACTAATCCCCTGGTCCTGGACTACCGTAATTTGCTCCCTAGATTAATTTTCTAAAACGCAATTTAGGATCAGATATCAATGACTCCTTCATTTTACCACAATCTTTAATTAATATCTTACCCTACTGTAACTTGACAGAAATTCATCCGTTGAAAGCCAGATGGAAATTAACTTTGAGCTAAAGGATAAGAGATAAACCCTTTTAGTTGTTGATCACTTATTACAATATTGTAGGAAGTGGAAGTGCTTAAGTGCCACTTGCATTACAGCTCCAAATTATACTCGTTCAAAGAGTGAATAAGGCCAAAATGATAGAAAAAGCTATTGGATGGGAATAATGAGCTTTCACAAAGACAGGGCATCCGTAAATCAAGATTTGAAATTGGCTACATTATATTTTGCTTTCATGCAGAGCCTGAATGTATTGTTCAGTTTATTAAACTGGCCGTCATGCATCTGTTCGAATAAGGTATTTATAAACTCACTATTATAAGAATCGAGCCAAAATTGCAGTAAGTGTAATGTATACATAAAGACTCCTTGATCAATTATCAGGATTAAGTCAGCGGCCAGGGTTTTGGACTGTAATATCAGAGCATTATCTTCAATTTCCTGCAACTCTTCCTACTTCTGCTCTTTCCTATTCATTAAGAGAGAAATCTGATATGCAAATAACAAGCTGTACAGCTACAATCTATATATGCAATTTAGATATTCACAGACTTCTGATATTCACAAACAAGCACAGCTATGCACAGCTATAAATACAATTGCAAGAGTAATTTGTACACACCAGTATATGCTTATGTACATGAGCCTTAAATAGCACTATTTTGTGTTAACATACCACTTTTCTCGCCATCTGTTGAATAATTTACAGCTTTTAAAACTGCAGCATTTGCCCAATTTCTATTTTCTCCTCATCCATCTCATGATATACATGTACTTAATAACATAATGAAATATAATCATTTCTTAAGTAAGTTTCCTCACTTTTGTGACCATATAAATCCATCAGATTCCTGTTCTTGTTATATTTTAAGAGATTAAATTTCATTAATGTCCAATTCTGTTTCGATTCTGTGGAATCCATAACAAAATCTTACATCCTCTTGAGCTTCCATTATCATCTAGTCGCCTGTAGTCTGATTACCGGTAATACTGATTAATGCTATACTGAGGTTAGTCTTACCAATAAAATTGAAATGATTTGTAGAGACAAAACCAACACCAAAGCTCCCTTTTTGGGTAATTCAAAATTATTGGATATTAAAATTGTATCATACAATCACTGTAGTCCCAAACAGGAATGACTGCTATGTTTATGCTCAATTCAGTATTTTCAATTCCTTCAAGTTTGTTGATGTTCTGATCCAGTATGATTGTAGAGTGTTTAGAATTACTCTCTGTGCCAGCGAGTAATTCTGAATCTTTTACCCCTTCACCTTCTTACTTTCAAGACCTTTCGCTCAAAGGAATTTTAACCTACATGTAGAGTGCACATGATACCTCTCCCCTTCCTTCAGCATACTATGAAGTACATGTCTTGTAATGTATCGTTCTCGTCATCACTATCACCTCTCCCAATGTGCACCTGTTTAAGGTGTCCTAGCTTCATACCAATTCTGTCACCTTGATGGGGTTGGGAGTTTCCCATCTTAAAGGGTACTCTGAAGTGTACCAAACACTATTATTTCCTGTATAGTAGAGGTTCCATGTCATGTTCCAAATATTACCTCTGTAAAGAGTTATTTAAAGTTTGCAAACACTCATGATAAAAATAAAAGAGATTGTGCGATGACTTCTAGACGCACTTGCTTACAAGGAATAAAGCCTGCATAGAACCGAAGTCGGACTTGAGTGCCGTGCCCAGTGTTTTACATCATTCTTAATTTGTTCATACTCTTATCATACTCTTATCCGCTAGCTCGTAGAACCCTGGTTTAAGATTTTTTTAAATGTCATTTCATATATCCTAGTTGTACATAAATGATTTGTTTTGAGATGACTCGTTCCTGAAGTCTATGTGATGGCTTTGCTTTAGATGAGAAGATGTCCCAAAGTCATTCTGAATTGCTTAATACGCCTTTATTGGGTTATTTGGATCAATACATTCAGCAAAGTTGAGAAAATCACTTGCAGCATTTTCTTTCTTCTCAAAGCAGTACCTGCCACACTGAAGCTCAATGCCACTCCTTCCTGATATCTCACAATTGGAGTTGCTCATCGATTCCTCCAGAGTCCAGATATTCTTCAATTTTTATTTCACAATTTGAGTTGCTTATCAAATCCTCTTGACTTTCTGTGCTAATCAATAAGTACATCATGTATTTAAATAAATTAAGTAAATATTCACTGTTGAAACATACAAATACAAGCATTGATGTTTTGGTGTGGTGTCTTTTTGGACTATTTCAGTTTGCATCTCGACTCTTCATTGGAATACCTGACCCTTTGGGAATCTTACTTTGAACTTTGACCTTTGGCTGTGCTAGTCTACTTGGAGGTTTGATATTGGATTTCACAGGAGATGGGAGCTTGGAAACCTGAGCTCCAGAAGAGGCTTGTGGTAGTGTGGTAGAAGTGATGGTTGTGGTGGTGGTGGTGAGGGTGGTGGTGTGAAGTTGCCCTCTCGGAGCAACTGTTGGGTTATTGTTCTGGTTGCATTGAAGCTGGACTCCAGCTTGTCTCGCCACAGGGCTGTTCGCCATGCCTGGTATCCGCCTTTCAGGAAGGGGTGACCCCTTCTGGAGTTTGGATACATTACTGGTAGGAATAGTACGTCTGGGAGACTTGGGGCTGGGCATCTTTGATTTATGGACTGGAATGCCATTAGCAATGTTCTTTGTTTGTGCAGGGTTACTGGAGTCTCGCTTCACTGCGCCGTTGGTAGGCTGACGACTGGAAGGCAGTCTGGATGATAGTGCAGGGAGACGAGACTTGAGGCTTTGTTTATCAGCCCCATTCTGCTTCTCTTGGGTGTGTACTGTTGCTGTGTGTTGAGATGAGGAAACTTTATTGTCAATGAGATCAGGGCTAGAATGCCTCAATTCCTGAGTGGTTTTCACAGTTTCTGGTGATCTTCGTTGTGACGACGTCAAGTCTTGATTGCTTGATCGCTTTGTGATCGTTCCTTGGGGACGGGCAAACTTGGGCATGGCCAGCTCTTGGCTCTTCTGTTGCTGCTGCTGCCACATATGATTCTGCTGCAGCTGCGATTGCCTCTTGAGTTGCTGTTGTTGCTGCTCAACCAATATCTCTTGATGCTTCTGCAGATTGGCTGTCACCTTCTCCTGCTGATCTTTCTGCAGTTGTTGCTGTTGGTTGTGCAGTCTCTGTTGATTCTCCTGTTGCTGTTTATGAGCAGCCTGGTGTTGTCTGTGAAGTTTGTCTTGTTGCTGTTGCAGCTGCAGCTGCTGCCACTCTAAACTTCCTTGCTGCTCTTGTGGTGGAACAGCCTTCCCCTGCTCTCCTCTAGCATCTCCCTTATGGACTGACATTGGTTTCTGCAGCCTGCTCAATGGGTTACCTCTGCCATCGATGGATACCTTCCCATCAGCTTTTCTTCCCTGTTGCTGGCCAGCCTTTGGTCGTTGTATCTGTCTTGGTCGTTGCATCCTGGAGGCTGGTCTCCTCATCTGTGGTAGCTTAGACTTCTCCCCCAATGACCCTGAACCTTCACTGCCTTCATGGGAGCTATCACTCTCATTCCGTTGCCTACACACCAACCTACCACCAGAACCTGTCCCTTCATCTGAACTGGACAACCTGTTATTGACTACTCTCGGAGATACCAGCTTTCCTCTAATACCCAACCTGCTTTGGGGATGCTTCAATCTACCACTGCACACCTCACCAATCTCATCTGAACTCGACCCTTTCTCTCTGCTCATCCTAGGTAGGGAGCTTCCACGCTGACTTGGCAGCTTCAGTCGACCCGACCCTGACTCATCACTACCTGGATCAGAGATGCGGACATGTTTCCGATGGGGCTTGGCAACTTTCTGTCTCTCTAAGCGGGTGGGGTTGTCATCGCTGGTATCGCCAGAGCTGAGACTGTTGCCTAGAGGAGAGAGAGTGACCTGATCCAGGCCAGAGGACCCCTTCCAAGGCTCCCGAAGGACTCCTTCTTCTCCGCCAGAGGATGAGGAGGAGATGGAGAGGCATCCTTCCCTAGACAGGAAGCTGCTGGCTGTGACCTCTGACCTCTGTTGGATGACATGAGCATCTCCTTGCTTTCCCGTACTGGTGAAGCACTCTTCACATTGCTTGCATCCCTGTAGAAAATCAAGAAAATAACAAGAAAAAAATTAATTACTTGCATTAACATATGAAATGGTCAGGATCAGAGTGTCAAATTATGTTCTATGACAATTAAAGTTCTGTCACGAAAAAGATTGAACAAAAAAAATACAACTACCGGTACTTTTATTTTCATATACATCCCTTTTGTTTTTCAACATGTCATGCATATTGCATACATTGCATAATTTATGTATGGCAGGCATGGATACAAATAGACACACATGTCCCAATCTAGTATCAAATCTACTACAAGTAATAGGTAAGACACAGAAAAAGATACATGAGAAGAAAGAGTGTTTCTTTTTTTACCAACAGTTCAGTGGGAAATAGATTTAAGGGAATTCATAATAGTTTACATACAAATGTTTAATTGAATTATTGCTTTCTTCCTTTCAGCCAACCTGTGCCATAGGCTTAGGGAAATCTTGAAGAGTTTGGCTCAGGAAGAGAGTGGTGGATGAATTAGCACGAGACTAAAAGCCCACCTGTTGATGGGCAAATAATACTACAGTTGAGTGATTGAACATTGCGACAAAGCTTGGATCCCTAAATATATTTGGAGAGCTAGAATAGATTTCCTTTCCCCTGCTTCCTGATCTGTTGTATTGTTATCTTCCCCCATCATCACAGTTCCCCAAACCTTTCATCTTTTCCAAAGTTTTCATGTTATCAACACATGCTAAACAACAGTTGCTCTGCAGGAAATAGTCTACATAATCAAATTTTCAACTCTTAACCCGAACCGAACATTTTTTGAAATGCTGATTCATTATCCAAAATTATTTTAGTTATATAAGAGGGGGTTGGCAGTATTGATGGACAATTCATTTCGCAACACTTGTTTACCTGATTTGCACACTATGCAATAAACCTTTGCCAAAGTAACATTTCCTAATGTTCACAAGCAATATTGTTTATCAGTCAACACCATTCGCCCCACCTTTGGCTCGACTGTTCAATGTTTTCTTGTGATTGCGTGTGCCTATCGATCTATCAAAAATAAACTTTGTAACAGTGCATTAGATTGAATAGAGACACACTCAAGCTTCTTATCCTGCATTCAGTCCTGCATTCATCAGAGATACACCAGTCACCGAGAATATTAAAAAAGCAAAATAAATAAAAAATAATAATGATATTCGATTCTTGTATAGCGCATATCACATTATAACATATATATGCGCTTCCAAAGAGCTTTGGTAATTATTACCCCGGCTTTAGAATGACTGCCATTATGGTGCTCTAGCAGTTCAAGGAATTAATTCCCGCCAGGTACCCATTTACATCAACTGGGTCGAGTGTGGCAATTGTAGATTAATGTCTTGCCAAAGGATATTAGTGCGGGACTCAAACCGTGGACCTAATTGTAATCCAATGAAACGATGAAACAATATATACATGCATGTGAATATAAATATACAAGTTTCTCTAGTTTTTCCTGTCGTCGATATTTTCCATTTTGGCTTTCTGTCTATCGTTGTTGTTTATTCTGATGAGTGCAAGATGAGACTTCAGCATGTCTATATCCACTACTTTTCCCTCCTATTTTGTGACACCAATCATTTCTTAGACTGTTAATAAGGTGTACAACATTTGCTTGTATAAGTCTACTGCAACAGAACTCGATATTATAAATAAAAGCAATCAAAAATCAAATCTGAAAAAACTAAAAATGTTGACAGCTCCGTGGGCCTGTTCATGATGGTAGAAAAGACCAAGCAAAGGCTCTGAAATTTGAGACTTCTCTCCTATGTACATACAAGAGGGATGTCCTGTCTAACTGGCAAGCTTACGAGAATTAGCTTAATAAAATGCTGAACGGAAGAGTCCACTTCCCTCCGTTTTTCAGGATAAAGCATTGTAAATTAGAGCAGGGGCATGTTGAATGAGGGCAAGGGTATCAGGGAGAGGATATTTGTAGGCCCCTAGCTCTGTCAAGAGAGGGATGAAGGGAATTTCCAGCTGAATTTGCCCACAGCTACTGCTCCTGCAATTTGCCAAGCCTTGACTTGCACTTCACAAGAGCTGTAGCTTGAATTATATACTATATGAAAACCTTTGGCATCGTCTTGTAAAGAGTTGTAATTGATCAGCATTGATTGATCAGCAAGCATTGATCGCAAGCATTGATCACAAGCACTGATCGCATGCATTGATCGCAAGCATTGATCGCATATATTGATTGCAAGTATTGATTGCAAGTATTGATTACAAGTATTAATTGCAAGCATTGATCGCAAGCATTGATCGCAAGCATTGATTGCTAGTTCTTCGATCAATCACAAAGTTACAATCCTCTATCTCTAAGGTTGTGAAAACACTAGAACTGATGTGGCTATTGCTCCTCGATTTCTTCTGATTCATGACCAGCCCACTAACTTGTTAATGTCTGAACAGTTTTATGAGACCTTGGTCCTGCCTTATGAAAAGTTGCAAATGAACCAAATCGATGGCAATTTAAGTTTGTACGAGAGACAAGATTTTGGAAGATTGTGATCCATTTGAGGACCTACAATCGAACCAGATCAATCACTACTCTTTATAAGACACAGCCTTAGGGTCAAGGTTCGGAGACAAGGAGGAAAACTATTCATTACCACTGACGGACCTAAGCGAGGGTTGGGGAAGGGCATATACTCTGGCAAAACTCAATGCTGCATACCTTAAATTCAAGTACTAAATAAGAATCAGCTCATATAGTGCTCACCAAATAGTAAGACCAGAATGACATGCTAAAATGGGACCGTAGTCCCTGGAAATGACTTGTTAGAAACACAATTTCTTTGTCCCATATTCCTGCTTCCCTACGATTGGAACACCCGTCTTACGGTGATCTCCTTCACAAAGTCCTCAGACAGGTAGTTGAAGTATTTTTATTTTCTGTTCAGTTCAGATATTGCTACATTGTATATGGTCCTGGTAAATAGTAAAGGGAAGGAAGGTTGGATTTCATCAACTGAACCTCAACTTTTCATAATAGCGCGCCCCCTCTGAAAGCCACTTATCTACAGTGCCCAGTTTTACTGTTTTCTCACAAGATTAAAAAAACAACACAACTATGAGCAGTTGCCCTGTTAATTCCTTTCGGTTCATTGCATAAAATGCAGTTGCATATTTGTATGTTATACATATTCAATCATTTAACAATCTAAGTTGTGTTAAATGAATGTACACCAGGGAAAAAAATACTTTAAAAATTTAGGGGGCTACTTTTCAAGTTTGCTTGCATGAAAATAACAATCTTTAATTTGTTTTGCATTGAACTCTATGCACATTTCTGGGGGCTCTTTTATGACTTTCGGGGGCTCTTTTGCATTTTGGGGGCTAATTTGCCCCGAGCCCCCATGTATTTTTTTCACTGATGTACACAAGTAAATATGGTAGCATTGACAAGAAGAGAGAATAGTTGATTGAACAATTCATGAATTAATACTTGCTTGAACAATTATAACAGTTCTAAAGTAGATCTAAATGACACAATTCAGACTGATGCAGGTAGTTACGTGATACAGTCAAACCTGTCTATAAAGACCACCGAGGGAAACAGAAGAAGTGGCCACGGAAGACAGGTGGCCTTTCTAGACAGGTTCTACAATACACATTTCTCTTTCAAGGGAGACAAAATGCATGGCCACTATAAATAGGGGGTCGCTAATTAATGCAGGTTTGACTGTAACATTTATTCAAGGGTCATGTCAACAATAAAGTATTCTGAACCAACAACATCAGTCAAGATCTGATGATCACAGCAATTCACTCTCTTATGGCATTCACTGTCATGGCACTCTAAAAGGCCTTAATTATAGTTATACATGTGACAAAGGGATGTTTCTGATGGTCTTATTTTGACAGCATATTGGGCCAGGTCTTCGAGGCAATCTGTTGCTTATGAAACTGAGCAAAAGTCTACTATAGGTGTATCTCTACTTTGCACCCAAACTCTGTTCTTGTAAACATGTCCTTAGAAGTCAAAAGTTGGAAGGGGCACTGCCCTTGAAATTTATTTATAAATCCATGATGATATTAGTGACCTTGACAATTATAATGGTCAATTATAATGGTCAATTATAATGGTCAAATCACATTACGGGTCAAAGGCTATCAACAGGTAACAAAAGTTGATATACCTGAACATGATGGGTTCCATGCAAAGCCATGTACTCCTCAAATGCAGCCTTTATCCGACTGGATGCATTAACAATAAAGGAGAACGGGTGGATCGAGCAGGGGTGCATTTGAGTGGTAGGTAAGGGTGTGGTGGAGTGGAGGTGGGGTGGAGGTGGGGTGGAGGTGGGGTGGAGGTGGGGTGGAGGTGGGGTGGAGGTGGGGTGGGGTGGTGGAGGAGTGTGGGTGGGTGGTGGAGGGGTGTGGGTGGAGTGTGGATGGAGTATGGAAGGGGTATGGAGGAGTAGGACAGAGAGTGAGAAGGGCAGGCAGGGGTGTGGGTTGGGTAAGGCAGGGGTATTGAGGTGAGGACAGGGAGTGAGAGAGGTGGGGGTAGTGGTGAATAGGGATGAGAAAGGGGTGCGAATGGGGTGGGGAAGGGGTGAGAATGCATGAGGTAGGGTGGGTGTGATAGAGGTGTACGGCAAGAGTGAGTGAGAGGGGGGGGGGCATGGGCATGGATGAGTTGGGAGGGTGTGTTTGAGAGGGTTCGGAAGATATGTGATAGGAGTGGGGGGAGGTGTACGGGTGGGGGAGGGGCAGTGTAGATGATGATGATTGGACAAAATTGGAAAAATATGAAGAAGATGACAAGTCAAATATTCATTCATTCTTGATGCTTTCAAAAACTGAAGTATATTACATTCAATACTAGCTTAAATATAAAAGGTATTCTAAAGGATTTTATGTACCTAGGTGAATAACAAGATGTGCTGTAGATCAGTTAAATAAGCTCGCAAAAACATAATCATCAATTAAGCAAATTTATGAACAATGTTCATACTGATATCAAGTTATTTTTAACCCA